GGGCATGGAATGATCTCTACGTGTAGATTGGATAGACACATGCACGTCTGCAAGGAAAGCATTTGTTCATGGGTTAGTTCATGGGCTGATTGAGTTCACATGGACTAAGTTCATACATGCCATCTCTCCTGAGATATGTTCAGCAAAAAATTCAAAACATACGACATTATTTCGTTCGCTAATCTCCGCTACTCGTCGTCTCACCTGGCTTCAGAAGATGTTACGAGAGATAGGAGAGTCTCCAGCAGGCAGCGCATCCACCTTCAGGAAGTGGAAAGAGCAAACGGCATGGTCCTTGGTTGAGGTAAATGCTGAACGTTTGATTTGTCCCAACCAAGATTTCAGCACTTGGTTCGTCACGATTTTCGCTTGCCAGCTAACGTCTCCGCACTCCAGCTTTCCTCTGTCGGTGTCACGTCCCAGTACACAACGGAGAGGACTATGATAAACAGTTCACGGCACTAACAGCCTTGAACACAGTACTTCTTTCACTTCGTGAATACAAGAAGACAACTGAAAATGACACAATTCTTCACTGATCGACCTTCTCTCTCACGGAGCTAAGCAGAATGTGCGTCATCACCTGTAGTCGCCATGGAAACGGGATCAGGAAATCGGCGATATGGCAAGTTAGTTTCCCTTGCCGGACGCAAGCGAGAGATATACCATCGGAACCGATATCCAATTGTCTTTCATCTGAGCCCTACTTGAAAAATCGATGCACTTCCCCTTTTTAACCAACCATGCATGGTGAATAAAAGAAGAAAAGAAGAAAAGTTATTATGTATGTATGTGTTGTGTTCCTGTGTTTCTTTCTTTTTATTTTCTGTTCTCACATTTTGTTGAGCAGATTGTGTCAAGTATAACTCATATGATCATGTACATCATGTATCATGATATCACCACAGGACAGCCTCGGACTCAGCTCAGTACAATCATAGTTCATACCAAGACGGCAAGAGCTCTTGCCAGTCTTATCTTGGTCATACCAAGAGTACAATGATTACTGCATGCAGTAGCGGCTGCATGAGTACAGCATCTGGAACCTGTGCCTGTGTGGGCTGAGGCTGTGTGGCTAGACTACGTCGCTAGCCGCGTGTTGAACAGTTCAGGTAGCCCACTACACTCCTTGGTCGCAACCCTGCAACAGCTACAGACAGATTTGTAGACTGGCAGAACACACGTAAACACGTAGAGTCTAGCATTCCGGAATTCCCTGAACTACATAAAGTAAAGTGTGGAAAGACGGACAGGCAATGAGGCATGGGTCTTCCTAGATCCTCTGACTCACTCAGGCTAGGCTCATCAACTACAACAAAAGCCGGAACCAGAACTACTTTCTTTATTATTATGGTACATGATCTGATTGTACAGCTAGTATTACGCAGATCTACAGTGTAACTGCGAGATAAAGAAACCCGGGTTTCAAGCAGTCCTTTCCCAAACGACCAATCCCGATATAACAGATTTCGAGGGTTTTTTTGCCGGGAAACGTTCTCAAGCTTGAGAAATTTCGAATTTGTCTAGTTTTGGGGTATGTATGAAACAGGGTTATCGGCCTGGTCGAGCAGTGAAGGCTTCTTCCACATCCCTTGAATTATTTCATATGAAAGGTAATCAGTTTGGCAATGCCCTGCCGCCAGGAGAATGCAAACAACGCGATAGAATGCGTCCCGGGTGGTAGGGATCATTTTTCTAAGTGCTATAAAATAGCTGACATCGATGCGAAAGTCGGCCTCAAAGTCGACATGGACGTCTTGAACAGGTGAGATCAATCAAAATAGCAATGGAGAACACCCTTAAGAATAGATGTATAGTGTTTCTAAGCTTCCAACCCTTGTGTGCTCAAGTGAAAATTGAACATATTTGGACGTGAATATATCACCAGACAAAACCTGATGTAGTACATTAATCATTCAATGGGTATACAGTATACAACCACCATACAAACACGAGCAGGAGAATGAATGGATAGGAGAAGAGTTGGTTACCCATTGCTGTTCAACAAAGAGAAGCACATACTAAAAGTTGAATTGGATGAAAAGTATTTACAATTCACAATTACATGTACATGTATCACTTTCTGCGATGTCACACTTGCGGCGAGGAAATGCCTGTCGCGCACTGTCGCAAGCAGTTGTAGGGCCACTGTCCCAGAAGTTGGCAAAAGCATAACTCTTGCCAAGCGCGTTGTACACGAATGGAGTGCAGTTCACTAGGCTGGGTGCACGTGAGGGTACTACGCCCTGCACTTAGATGTCGCAGAAGCAAAACAGATTGTGAATCGTCTGTCGCGGTTGCAGCTCATCGCAGGTGTTGCATGTTGCGCATCGTGGAAAGCAGTTCGTGTATTAGGAATTGAGCTTCAGTAATAACAGAAAGAGGATCCCAGAGGATGACCGACACCGCTGACACTCTTCTGTGCAAAGTTTTGATGACGATGCTTGATTGAGACATTAACCTGCAATGGAAAATAAACAGCAGATGATACTGATTATATATTAGGTATGGATTATACCATGAGTATGAGGGGTATACCGCGATTACTTTCGAGAGTGCGTTAGGACGAGGGACAATTGGGGGACTCGGTATACACAGAGTACGAATGGTATAATCCATTTGCATGGTACTTTCCTAAATACAGAGTGTGACCAACACGAAAGCTTAGCTCACATTCGACGGGGCGCAACGGGACGCGACGTAAGGATTGACGGGAACCGACGGAACGGTTATGATGCCGACAGACAGCGTCCAATGTGAACACCAGGAACGGGAACGCAACCGTTCTACCCTACAGATTGGGAAGCAAGAGGAAGAGTTGGTCAGTTCAACTTTTCAGACCGTAGACGAGGACGCAAGCGTACAAAACAACTGCATTCTAGTGTGAACAGGGGATGTGTCGTGCTCTGACCCCTCCCGATGCGCACAACAGCACACTTAGGTTTTTTAAACATTTCGAACACGGTCAACACTACGCTTCCCATGATAACTCGCCGAATGGCTAGCACAATTGATTCAAATTTTAGTAAGATAAGATTTCGTGTCACTTCTTGAAAATCGCAATAGCTGCTGCATGTCGTGTCAAACTACATGTTGTGTCTTGCGAATTGTACAAGATTTTACAGCTCACACCGGCCGTCCCAACAGGCCCTTACGTTCCATACCGTCAGCGTTACGTCGAATGCGAACTAGGCTTAAAGTTTCCTTATTCTCGAAGTGACCCATGTGAACCGAGCGGGGTATATCGCTGAATATATCCCGCTTAGAACGGCCGCTGATTGGCAAAAAGTGATATTTGAGACGAGTTCTATATCACTCAGCTTCATATCACAAATGCTGGCGCACTTACATGGGGAAGGGACGGATCCATACACGTGCACGCATGAAATACTCTGCCAACAGCCAGTCAGCGATGATTACATATACATTGCAGCAACCCTGGACAGCAAGAGAGAATGTACACACCAGAGAGCCTGGAAATGAAGTTATACTCTGAACGTTTCGCATAAAAGAATATGGTGTCCAAAGTGAGAACAAGTCTAGATCACTCAATTAGACAGAACAATCTTTTAAGCGTACACTTACACGAGAAAAGGACGAATCCATAGGCGTGCATACAATGCATACATATCATGTTGAATATGCCGCCAGCATCAAGGCGGTGGGAACTACAACTGCATGCATACAGTGCAGCAGCCCTAGGCAACATCTCACTAAATGTAGAAGATATGGTGGGCAAATGATTACGACCATAGAACAGATGTCATTTTATGGTGCATGCCATCACAAGAACCAGTATTTTTATGGAACGGATGGTACTAATACGGCGAAATCATATATATGTCTACGGATTCAAGATAAATCACAACAGACTTAGGCAAGGACATGGTAAAACTGAGCAATGGACTGGCACATTCAAGACTGATTCATACTTCATTTCATGAACGCAATGCGCACAGGCGAAGGTCGCGCGATGGACCAAACAAGTAGCTCAACTCAAGATCAAGTCAACTTTCTCGCCGCAAACGGCCGTTGTGACGTGTTTCCCTGACGCAAAGCGAAGTGTGTATGACGCTTTACTCTACAGATCCAAAACTGTAAACCAGTGAAGACTACAGCTTAGAAGACGGTATTATAATGTTGTGCATTGTAGATCTACTTGCCAAATGTGTGTGATCCTCTATGTAACATACATGTACATAGGGCCAAGCAAGCACAGCAAGTTCTGAATTTTAGGTATTTGGAGGTCGTGAACAGATCAGATTTGTCTTGTAAGTGATAGGTATTGCTTACCTCTATATGTTGCCGCCTTCGTGCTGGCCGAAAACGCTGCGTGCTCTGGCGATAATCCGGCTTGAAATTAGGTGCATAAAAATGCCAATTTCAGCTTCGTTCACAACATTTTCGATATACGTCTCCTCTACGAAACTTCACTAAAAATATATCTGCCGAAAGAGCGTCCCGTAAAGAATACATGGTGTGAAATAAAACGAGGTGGTGCCAAGTAAAACGACGTAGGCCATGTAAAACGGCTTCCATCTCTCAGAACCAATTTAGGACAGTTCTCAAATTTGAGAACATTTTTTCGCTTTCGCGGCAAAAATCAGTCAAGAATCTGTTATATCGGGATTAGTGGGAGAGGTCTTTTTTTTGCGCGTCTGGGGAAGGACTGAAGATGTTATGTTAGAAGATCTACGACTCTAGTAGTAGTACGAGTAATCTGCTCCTGCTGCTGCATACTGCAACTGCAAGTGCGACAAGTCTTGTTCTGATTTCTGACGAATCGATCTAGACCTAGTAGTACCTACAAGGCTACATGTAGATCTACTACTACATGTAGTCGACTACAGATTACCTTGATTACAGTACAGCTTCATCCGAACTCAGTTTACTTGTGCAGTCAGATCATGTGCCTGTAAGGCTGTAGTTTGTACTGACAGTCTGTACACCATGTACACAGAGCTTGAGTGTGTGGCGCTAGTATAGTAAAGCTTGGTAAAGTACAGGTATGCGTTGTTTTCGTGTTTTTGGCAGATGAAGATAAAAACCGAGTGTTTTCCTTCGCAGTCACATTTTCGCAAGTCGAAAGACCAGAAAGACAGCCTGAGCAAAGTAGTTTGTTTGTATCGACTCGTATCGCTGTGACCAGCGTAGGACAAACGGATATAATCTGACGGGGAGAACAGGAGCGCTATTGTTAGTCATTTAGCTACTATCATGGTACGAGCAGCTCTCATGGTATTCCCTGTCTGGTGGTGTGGAGCTCACCTGGTGCTATTTCGATTATTTGCTCTGCCTGACCTTCCAGGGGAACACTTTAGGCAGCCTACCAGAAGACCTGGTCACGAATTGTAAGTCCATGCTAGCGGTGGCCTGCGGCTGTGTTACGCTGTTCGTTGTGACATACAGCCTACAGTTAGTCTGTGAGCGGCACCATTGCTCAAGCATTGCTGTTACTGGCACAAGCCGTCGCTAACATTCACATTCCCATCTTAGCAAGTAACAGTGGTGTCGCCCACACTCCACTAGGGACTCGTACTCGCTCCTTTTCGTTTGTTCAAGTACGGTGTGATCGCTGGCAATGGTGCATACGGCAATCGTGGGAAGACAACAGATGCATGATAGCATGTACAAATGAAGCTTGCAAGAACTCATGGCAAGAAAATGATGGCCTCGAAGCCTCATTGTTGACAGTCAAATGTCACTTGTGCGCCCACTTTGGGAATGGGTCTTGTTGGATTAGTTAAGATTTCGGATATTTCCACCAATGTGTATGGTTTTACTGGTTTCTATGTACACCGAGAAACAGTAAAATTTAATGAAATTGTACAAATCCACAACTGATGATGGGATTACTCGCTACCATCATTACCCGCTGCCGTCATAACAAACAACATCATAGTCAACATTCAGCACGATTAATAAGTTTCTCTTCTCGGACTTTGGCATCGCCCAGTCGGACAGGATCAAGAGATTCACGATAGGGAGTAAATGTTTTAGCGCTCTCACACCGGGCTTGTCTGATATCTGACAAGTTCACATACTGGTGGTCGGATAAGTACCTGACTTTCTCTGTAGAGCACATTGAATCATTGAATCATCCGTGACAAATTGCCTAGCGTTACTGCACCGATGATGGTTGCAGATTAAATGTGGTTACCGCAGAACTAAATTCATTGCAATCCGGTACCGACACACCCCCTCTAGCTCCCCAGTGTAGGTCACAATGCTGCGTGCCAGGTTGGCAGCACAAAGACTACCAGTGTTGTATCACCACCGTCTCTACTGATCACACACAACGTATCCAGAGCACCAGCAACAACAACTTGCTGTCAGTACGGTGAAGCTGGCGGCCGTAGTCTAAACTAGTGAAATTGTCTTCTTCCTGTGGCTGTGTGTGTATGTGTGTACGCGTGTGTGTATGTGTGTACGCGTGTGTGTGTGTGTGTGTGTGTGTGTGTCTGTGTGGTGTGTGGTGTGTGTGTGTGTGTATGTGTGTGTGTGTGTGTGTGTGTGTGTGTCTGTGTGTGAAGTCGACCAAGATGAGATCCGCCGCCTGGGCAGGCGTTTCAAGAAGCTTGACATGGACGGCAGCGGAGCATTGTCATTCGAAGAGTTTATGACATTGCCAGAGCTGCAACAGAACCCACTGGTATCCCGTGTCATAGACCTGTTTGATACTGATCACGATGGTGAAGTAGACTTCAAAGGCAAGTGCGAGGATTGCTTCCACTGAACTAGCCGTGGTTTTCAGTACTTTCACGCACACATGTACACACACACATGTGCCGATACACGCACATGCGCACTCACACCATCATAATCATACATACACATGCACACTCACACACACACACACACACACACACACACACACACACACACACACACACACACACTGCTACTACTATGATACAGCTACCCTAAACGGGTCACGCCGCCGTGACCCAAGCATGAGCACTACGAGGGGCAGTGGCAAATAAATAGAATCAGCTAGCAGAACTGGCAAAACAGATGGAGCAGAACGGACGACTGCTGTACTGTAACAACAATCTGACAGCTACAGTGACAACGACTGAAAATGAACAGGAAGGAAAAAAAAATTCAAAATTTCACGTCACGAAAAAACACTGTCCACGAAAGAATCCACCAAGCAAAAGGAGTGTGGGCATCCGAAATCCCACCAGGACTCCACTAGCAGTTCTTCCACGTTGACGATGTAAGCGGCAGGGCAAGACCTCACAAATCCGACAGACTTCCACAACGCTTGACCAGTGCACTCATGACGACGAAAGATTGAAGTTTCAATTCCCACCATTCCGCCATTGGGACCTTCCTCTCCGCACTCGCTCGTCCACTCCACTGAAAACAACGAGTTCCAGCACTCCACCAGCCAATCCGCAATTCCCACCACTGCATTCTTCACACACACACACACACACACACACACACACACACACACACACACACACACACACACACACACACACACACACACACACACACACACACACACACTACTACTACTACTACTACTACTACTCCTGCTGCTGCTGCTGCTGCTGCTGCTGCTGCTGCTGCTGCTGCTGCTGCTGCTGCTGCTGCTGCTGCTGCTGCTGCTACTACTACTACTCAACTACTACTACTGCTATGTACAACTGCCACAAAATGGCCACGTCGCTCCCAGAAGCGGGAGACAACAGCGAGAAAGGAAAAGAAACAAGGAGAGTAATTGAGGTGAAAGGGGACCGTTCTACACACAGTGCACACACCGTGGCACACACACACCGGCACATATACACACGGAAGTGCCAGATTAAGGGGCCGTCCGTAAATATCGAACTTTTTTCACCAAACGAATTATTTTAGTTTAGACCCAACCCCTCCCTCCCTCCCCCTCAGAACGTAAAAAATGTTGATATACATGCATATACAACGGCCATGTACATGAATCAATGTTTTCTGAAACGAAATTGGTCAACCTCCTCCCACCCCATAACGAAATTATTTCGTTTTGTGAAAAAAGTTCGATATTTACGGACGACCCCAATGCTCAGTGGATATCAGCTATGAATCAACCGGTATCTTTCTTGACAGTCCAAAGTATCTCGTCATTTTACTACTCACTGCCCAGAACCCTGTTACTAAGTCTAAAGGTTGGCGGATAGGCCTCAGCAGGTGATGTAAGTGACCAGGAGACTGACCCGACTGGGCAGGAATAACTATCGATCCGCCTCAATAGTCTCGATCAAGTCATGCTTGTGTGTGCTAGGGGATGGTCAACAAGCTCAATGTGTATAAATAGTAGCCAGGCCTGGCAACAGGCGGACACTCTGGGCCTGGTATGCAGGCGCCTAGCACCGCCGTTGGAGGTGGTCCGGCCGGAGGGGTTGGGATCTGCTACAAGAAATTTTTGAAATTAGGGTGTAGAATCCTGCATTCTGGGCGCTTTTGAGGTCCGGCCAAAGCCGGGCCAGCTGCTACACCCCTGGTATATACTAGGGCCTTCCCTATCAAAATAATAAATTCTACTACTACTACTATACTTGTACTTGCTGTGCCGGTCCTATAGGTGTTACTGCAATTACTACCCCCCCCCCCCCCCCCGGAACATTTCTTGCGATATTTGCCCCCAACATAAACATTGCTGGCACTGACTGAAATGTGTTGCTTACTGTGCTCCTGCTGCTGCTGCTGCTATCCTACAGAATTCATTGAAGGCATGTCAATGTTCAGTGTAAAATGTGACCAAGAAGCAAAATTAAAATGTAAGTACAATATCCGCATTGTGTACTACTAGCCATATTTTTAAGATTCCATTCATAGTCTGTATGCCGTATCTTGTCATGTACAACATCATGGGGCTATCCCAGCATACCACCTGCTCTGCATTTGGCCCCTGTACCCGTGACTCCCGTAGTGCTCGTATAGTGCTTGCCTCTTGTATAAGTTAGGAACCTGTAGTTGTAGCTTTTTTGTAAATAAACTCATGTTTGCATTCCCAGGCAGGCATAGCGGGATGGTGTAAGACCATGATTGAGAAACAAAGGATACCAGGTTCACTTGAAGCCCTGCTTGGAAGCGAAAGGATTATTGCGGCCGTGCTGCGACCCATAGCCTCCTGGCACGGCGGATGGGATTTAAAGTCTTTGACCACTTTGGTGGGTCTGATCTACTCACCTCCTGCCGCTTTAGGAGCTGCATTTGCGTCCTGATCCTTGGGAGTGGTGGCGTTCCCACGGAAGCGGAAAACTCGGCCTCCAGCCGAGTAGAAGTATGTAAAATTCTCAACCCTGTTGTACGAGGCGTGGGGTTTGGCCATGGCGTGTGCAGGACACCAGCTGCTGCATCCTATCATCATCTTGTTCTATGTTGATATCAGGGATGTTCTAAGTCATTCATTTTTACATCCTGGACACGTCTTTTTTCTCATCACGCAAGCTGGGTACAGCAGACTATTGCGAAAGAGCACCAACTGACTTGTCTACGATAGTGGTCTACAGCACGCTTGTACCTCAATCTGCTTCTTTTTAAACTGACTTTGTGTACGTACTTGATCTCCATGTGTGTGGTGACGTACAGTTGCGTTCAAAGTGTATGATATCGACAATGACGGCTACATCTCAAACGGAGAGCTTTTCCAGGTAAAGTGTACCGTCCTGGTTATCGCATTGCAGTTTCATCTGCAAGACACATGTCCTTCCCTAGACTAGGGTGTGTGACTGTAGGCCCATTTGGTCTGTGACCTCACACTGTGGAGTCCATTAGCAGGTAGGCCTCGTGCAAGTGCATGGAAGGGTTTGGAGTATGTTTTAAAAAAAGTGCAGTGGCAATTTACAGAGATAAAATTAATGCGATTTTGTACTGCCGCAAATTTAAATTTTTAAATTTAAATGCCTTGCACTGGGGCATTTGAGTCCCTAGCATACACCGCCATTGTACATGCCGGCTAACATCAGCTTGCTGAAGATCGGTAGTGAAGGGAGCAACCGCATGTGGGATACTCTGAACTGGCTGAGAACATTTGCCAATGGCTCATGCCTTATGTGTTTTGTACGTTTGACATTGTTTGCCAATGGAACAGGTGTTGAAGATGATGGTAGGAACCAATCTAAAGGATGCACAGTTGCAACAGATCGTGGACAAGACGATCCTCTACGCCGACAAAGATGGAGATGGAAAAATATCGTTTGAGGAATTTAAAAATGTAAGTACTCGCACCCGGCAGTATAAATTGTTTAAAAGCGTAGTCTCATGGAGATTGCTCTTATTGCAAGAAATTTCGGAGTAGAAAGGGTTTACTACATGTACATACCGGTAACTTATTGTGTAGTGAGTAACTGGAGGTCATGCACACGTGGTACCAGTATTTGTTGAGTACATTTGTACACCGTTCAGCTTGGGCATGGCATCAGCATGCTAATGCGGAAATTATGTCGCGTCGACGTATTCGCCAAATGCCCATCTTACACTTCAGCAGTCACACTGTACAGTACACCTAGAATGTACATCCAGACGATTAAAAGTGAATGGTGATCATGAGTAGCTAGGCTTTGCTATTGGCAGCCAACCCACTTAATCTAAGAGTGTACTTATACACACGATTGGAATACAACTGTCATGGAAATGGTGCATGAAAACGGACAAAAATGTCGTAACTGTGTTGTAAGCTTCACACTAGAGGTTAAGATGCACGTTATTTCTGACGTGACGCGAAAGTTCGGCTCACACGTCGAAAACCAACGCGAGTGACCTGCAGCTGACGTCGAAATTTGGAGTTTTACGCCAAATTTGACGTGAAATTGTGCGTTGCGTCGGAAATAACCTGCATTTAACCTCTCTAATGTGACCAGGAATGCTTGACCGTACTAGCAGGACGTATTGCATGTACTGTTGGAAGTCGCGTGCTTCGCAGTGTAATGCAGTAATAGCCATGTAAGCCCATGTTCAGACCAGCCCACTTCTTTTACTTCCATGGTTCCATTCAAATCATGCCTTGATACAAGACTTTCAGGTATGCGTATTACTGTGACCAGCACCGCCGTGAATACTCTCGTACCACTTGGTACTCAGAGGCTTTAAAAAGAAAACGTGTTTGGAGTACCTATTAACTTTGTGAAAGTGGTAGCTGAATCTAGTAGAGCAGTTGACACCCCCCCCCCCCCCCCCCCTGCTTCTCTTGGACATACCGCAAGTTGGTGAAAGTAGTGTACGCGGCCCAGGTTACATGTATGTGGTGCTACGTCAGCTGGTTGGGTTTGTGGAGTCTCACAGGAAATAATAGTGATTGCCGGAGTGTGTGGGTTTGTTCTTGTTTATCACTCTCAGGTTATTGGGCAGACAGACGTGAAGATGTCCGTAGTTGTGTGACATTCTTCCACGACACTAGAGCGAACCTGAACCATCCTTCAACAACACCCAGGCTAGGAACTAGCTAAGCATTATTAGACCATTGTTGGATTCAATTAGTACAGGTTATGTCCATTTGTTATGATGTATCCACATAAATAGTCATCTTTTTCCTTCTTGTGCCATGCTGGCTGGTTGAGCACTGATATCGCGGACGCCGTGCTGATTCGGCAAGGCCGTTGCGTTGCCCCGGCTACGGCCGTATGTGATGACGCTATGGAGTTCCAGAGCATGGCCAGGTCAGCTCATACACACACCCTTATGCGTATCTGGGCCCCCGATGCTTAGTTGGGCACCTGCACACGGCACACATCTTGCCGCATGCAGAGCCGACTCACACCCAGCAGCACACCATACTTACACGACGTTTAGGTGCCTTGTTCTTCTCCTTTCAGGCATTCGTTGCTTTGCTGCCCTCCGGAAGATGAACCCTTTTTTTTTTCAAATCTAGGCCCCACTTCTTCGGTTTCATAGCTGTAGAAATGCTGTCTTCGTAGTTTGTGTTTAACTTTCAATGTTAGTAGACGCCCCATAGGCATGGTTAGTCCTGTCACCGTGCGGTAAATGCATACAATCCTGTACATATTTTTCTGTTTTCATTATGGTTATGAGACATCCCCACTCCCTCTGCTGGCTACATATGAACATACATGTTGATCTCTCATTTCCTTCTATTGGCTTTTGGACTAACTAAAAAAACTCTCCAGTCTTTCGTATAAACAAATTCATGCTCCAAGTACGTCAGGCTCTACGCTTGTGATCAAGAGCACCATGTCTAGTATCGTTAGTACAGTTGTGCTCGGTGAAATCCGACCTAAAGTGGAGCACTCTACAAGTACAAGGAACGTAACCGGATTGCTAAAAAAATAAGAACACCCCAGCCCCAGCCTTATAAGAAACAATAAGGACGTTTAGTTCGAAAGAAAATTCGAGTCTGGGAATGAGTACGGAAAAAAGCTCGAAACTTCGAACGCGAAGTTGCAGTGATTTGCGAAAGTAACTTTCTCTTTCCTCGGTACGCATTTGATTACAGTGAGTAGAATTTTTACAGCCCCCTTCTTGAGACTGAGGCCTCATTTACACGACAACGATTGAAAAACGTTTTTCAATCGTTTTCGAAACCTTTTTTGCTGTTTACACGAAAACGATAATCGTGTACACTGCAACACTTTTTTCGGCGCGCAATGGTCTGTCCCTCCAGGAAATCGCGATTCCACGGATGCAACAAATTTCGCGATTTTGGCCCAAACCCGCGATTTTCAGCAAAATTCGCGATTTTCCGCGATTTTTGTTGTTTTCTGCACTATATCTCACAGTTTTATGCACTTTTCACGCAGTTCTTTCCATGATCCTGTAGGTTATTTGTACAGCACGACTCCCGAGTAGATATACGATGCAAAAAATTTCGTGATTTGGCCCAAATCCGCAATTTTCTGCAAATAATTCCGCGAATTCCTGGCAAGTTCTGCATCATTCCGCACTTTTCGTCGCATTTTTGTTACTTTCTGCCGCAATTTCTTGCGCAAGTTTTCGAGAGTTTTTTCCGCAAATTCCCGCAGGGACAGAATGGTCACGTGCAAAAAGTTGGCCTGGCGGCGGCATGTTTTGAGTACAAGGCTCGTACTAGTAAAACGTTTTTGCCGTTTACACGAGAACGAAAACGATTGAAAAACACTTTGAAGCCGTTTCTCGTTTGAAACAATTTTTAGCGTTGTCGTGTAAACGCTCTTATCAAAATCTGTGGAAGCGTATTCTTTTGAAAATGTTTTTCAATCGTTGTCGTGTAAAAGAGGCCTGAGCTGCATATACGGTACAGTACTATAAGATTCAAATTACTTCGAGAAAAAAGTAATTTCGCACTGCTAAACCTCACAAGTTCTTCGCAATATATTTTCGCGAAACATCACCACCAACAAAAGTGCGTGGACGCTCGACTACTGTGAATGAAAGCCCGCTCTCTGAAGCTGCTGGTTGGCCATAACCTAGCAAAGGCCACGCGGGTCATTGCCTCCAAGGGGTAAACCTGGCATGTTCTTATTTTTCAGCAATCTGGCTGGTTCCTGTAGCACGCTCTTCTAAACAATTTTTTGTGCCGGATCATATTTACAGCAGGTATTCCAAAAGCTGCCTGAAAACCACCAGCAACACACATCCACCAATAAGACTATAAAGCTGTGTTCACAACTGAAGCGCGTAACCACGCGTTTGTGCTGGCTTTTGGAGCGCCATGCGTATGGAAACGCGCCGAAATGGAAATTCCAACATGTTGGAACTTTCAGCGCGTATCAGGCGCGTACCAGCGTACATGCCAGTCACTTTGACTGACGGGGTAAAAAAATTAGTACTCGAAGGTGTCGCACGCGCTAAATAAGACTCGGATTGCTGCGTTTTGTGAAATAGTCTGGGGGCCAGGGGGATTATTTTTGAAGTTTCGTTCCGGGTAAGAGGGCACCAAGTTTTGTCGATTTGAGTGTCAAGTATCTTCAAAATGCTGCAAGATGGTATGCCATTCAATCAAAATTTCCATCGGGAAGGTCATACAATGAAGGTGGAAAGAATTGATGATGGTTGCCATGGCAACAAACCAGTTAATTCAAATATACAGGAGAACTATGCGATATTTTGACAACATTCCTGCTGAATATAAACATATCCAATACGTATGACTGATTGGCCAAGTTTGACTGAAAACAAATAAACTTCAGGGCCTCAAAGGTGAATTATAAAATCGGATCTACTGCAACTATACATTACTGTACATACGTAATTATATATGCATGCATACACCGACAACTGTACAAATACATTGGTGGCCAGTGTACATGTGACATCTATAAAGCCTTTTAGAAAAGAGTTAGAAATGAATAGAGCAATCTGTGACCAATGGTGATCTAATGGATAGACATGTATATGTATGTATGATCCTAGAGGGTGGTGGCGTTCCCACGGCGGATGCGGAAAACTCGGCTTCCAGCCGAGTCTCACGCGAACCGTGAAATTTATTTATTTTATGTATGTATGGCGAAGAGGAAAATGTAGAGGGAAACAGAGCACGCCAAAGCAGTTCTCTCTTAGTGCCTATCAGTTGGTAGCAACAAAGAGGATCTTGTGGCATTCTTTGGTGGTGAAGTGGCAGCTCCCGGACAATCTGAACAAGGTGCCCCCAGGCAAGGAACTGGTTGTCACTGCGGGCCAAGAGTGCATAATAATTATTGTCAAGTCGGCTGGTGCAAGCATGGCGTCTACTGCTGTGGAGGAGTTGCTGTTAACCCAGGAACTCCCTTCCACTGCCTTACATCAAGAGCTGACATTGATTGTGGCTCCGAGCTCCTCCAGCAGGGCATTGATGCGTTTTCCCGTTGGGGACATAAGTGGAGGACCAAATTTGAGCCCTCCAAGACGAAGGCTATGTCTATAGGCCACCATCGCCAGCCCTGGGAGCTCCCTCGAGCAACATTTGACGGCACACCGGTCAGTGAAGAGAGTCGGCCGAAACTCCTGGGAGTCACCTTTGACGACACCCTGGGCTACTCCTTCCACCTCCGCTCCCTAGCTTCCCGTGCTAACCAGCGGATTGGCTTCCTGAAGCGAGCGTCTCCCATTCTGGTCGCCGAGAGCCGCCAACGCGTCTACAACGGCTTTGTGCGACCCACACTCGAGTATTGCCCTTTAGTGTGGATGGGCTCACCCTCGTCCCATCTTAAGAAGCTGGACCAGATCCAGCGAAGGGCCCTCTACATCATCGGAGCAGGTACTTGGCTCCCTAGCCTGGCACTCCGTCGCCTGGTAGCTGCATTTGCCTATACCTACAAGCTCTGCTATCTAGATGCATCCAGCCCTCTGAAGCAGATGCTTCCCAAACCAGCCACTCACCGTGCCCCCGAGACAAGACCTACCCGTCAGTCTCTCCAGCTGCATGATTCCCATCCATGCCAGATGACAACTGGCCTGCCTGCCAACACCCAGAATAGCTGTCTCCAAGGATTCCCTGCTTGCACCGTTGCAACATGGAATGCCCTGCCACCAGACCTGTTCCACCACCCACCCGCCCAGCCCCACATGCAAAGCTTTAAGAAAAAGGTGTACCGTCACCTTCTTGCTCAGGACTGGCTCTCTGCTACTGATGCACTTTGAATCGGTTCACCAACGCTTTCCCTGTTCTTATTAGTGTTCAGCTGCTTACCTTATAACCCTGCTGCCATCATCACCAATATTCTGATTCCCATGCACATGTCCCAGAACCTGCTATCCTTCGCAGTCCCCATCACCAAGAGCACTGTGCTCTTCTATCTCCCAGCTCTCTCTCTCTCGCTCTCTCTCGCTCTCTCTCTATCTCTCTCTCTCTCTCTCTCTCTCTCTCTCTCTCTCTCTCTCTCTCCTTCTTCTCTTCTTCTCCCCCCCCCCATCTCCCGATAATTATTAGCCCCCGTTTTCTTTCGACGCGTTTGCTGTGCAGTGAAGCCGAGACCCTAGGTCGGTGGAGCACATCAGACCCCGTCACCACGTCCACGATTCATGCCTGCGATGCTGCACCGCTGCTTTGCATGTCATGATTGGAAGCTGTGGCGTTAGTAAAAAAAAGGGGGGGGGGCACCAACCTGCACCAACCTCCACCAGCAACGTACACGGGATAACATGGCTAACAGAACAAGCAATGGTGGCAACATCGGTATCTCGTGTTCTTATCAGAACGGTCTCATACCCACTGACAGCTGCATGCCTTGCATGAAGGAGCAGTCTGGTTCAGCCTCTTCCTGGGTTAACAGCAACTCCTCCACAGCAGTAGACGCCATGCTTGCACCAGCCGACTTGACAATAATTATTATGCACTCTTGGCCCGCAGTGACAACCAGTTCCTTGCCTGGGGGCACCTTGTTCAGGTTGTCCGGGAGCTGCCACTTCACCACCAAAGAATGCCACAAGATCCTCTTTGTTGCTACCAACTGATAGGCACTAAGAGAGAACTGCTTTGGCGTGCTCTGTTTCCCTCTACATTTTCCTCTTCGCCATACATACATGTACATGTCTATCCATTAGATCACCATTGGTCACAGATTGCTCTATTCATTTCTAACTCTTTTCTAAAAGGCTTTATAGATGTCACATGTACACTGGCTACCAATATATTTGTACAGTTGTCGGTGTATGCATGCATATTTAATTACGTATGTACAGTAATGTATAGTTGCAGTAGATCCGATTTTATAATTCACCTTTGAGGCCCTGAAGTTTATTTGTTTTTAGTCAAACTTGGCCAACCAGTCATACGTATTGGATATGTTTATATCCAGCAGGAATGTTGTCAAAATATTGCATAGTTCTCCTGTAAATTTGAATTAACTGATTTGTTGCCATGGCAACCATCAGCAATTCTTTCCACCTTCATTGTATGACCTTCCCGATGGAAATTTTGATTGAATGGCATACCATCTTGCAGCATTTTGAAGATACTTGACACTCAAATCGCAAAAACTTGGTGCCCTCTCACTCGGAACGAAATCTATTAGACGTGACTTTTTCCTAACTTGGCCCCCGGACTAAAAGGCTGAGCGCACGTTTGGGCACGCATGAACCGCAAGCGTACCGCGTACACGCGCCAGTTGTGAACACAGATTTGGCCTTTTGCGCGTTGTACGAAATTCAGCACTATAGTCCATTCAGAAAAAATGAACTTCTAGCTTTTGGCCATAAATGGGTCAAACGTTGAGTTTTTTTAGAATTTTTTTCTGCAATCCCATATGGAATCCTCTTCCAATTATGTTTCTGAAGTTTTTTTGTCCAAAAAGCAAGCCATAGCAAGAATAGGATTTCGGCCAGGTTTTGCCCCAAAAGCACTGAATTGGGAAAACCATCAAAATCCAGGCCGTTTGACCCCGCCTGCAACAGTGCATTCTGCGGTTCGAACCCCAGTTCAGGCACCCTTTTTTGGCCCTTTTTCAAATTTCAAAGTTCGCAGCACTGCACTGTGTACGATGAAATCACGAAAAATCGCCAAATACGGGAGCTCGCCAGAGCCCATCTTTTTATGAATGGACTGTAGGGCGTAGGTGTGTACAGAACAGATAGGGTGTTTATTGTGTGCTTGCATGCCATTTGACCAATTTTAGCCTCATAACTAAGCTGTCCCTTTGGAAAAACGCGGCCAATAATTCAATATTCCGCGGGGAAAAGGGAGGTTTTCTGCGGCATTTTCTGTGGTAAAATCAAAAATCTGCGGCATTTTCTGCAAGGTTTTCACCCTCCTTGCATGAAGGAGTACTTTTCACACTAAAGTTTGCAGTCACAAACTGAATGAGAGTGAAGAATCTTGGAGATTTTACACTCACCTACACTCGCAAGAGCATAATGTGCTCAAACAGATTTCAAAGTAGTTTTTCTGCTGTTTTCTGAGTAGTAATTTTACTAATTTATCCTAAAATTCCGCGGGCAATGCCAATAGTGTGGATTCCGTGATTTCCGCGGATGATGGCAATTTCTGCGAAATTTGCCGCGGCCGCGGAATCGCGTTTTTCCAAGGGGACAGACTAAGGGCAAACAATCCCTATTCCAGCTTCTTCAATTTGGTTAGAACTACTGACTAGCTAGATCTTTGTCAGAAAAGGTTTTCGTTTGAAATGCCTTCAGGGCCCATTTCTTAGTGGAAATAGCAGAAAACACACTAGGGTCCTGCACATTCAACACCCATTAGGTTCTACGGGATTTCGTGCATCTGTACAACGCGCAAAAGGCTTATTCAGGAGGGGAAGAAGCTGGAACAAATCAAGCCTCTCACATAAGCTAGATGTTCAACCCATAATACATGCAAGCCATACGGCTGTATAAGCTGCGATAAAAATAAAATCGCAGTCAAGTACAGCATCTGTGCGACCAGAAGTACATCAACCAGAGTACACAAATCCATATCCAAGCTAAAACTCTTTTGTGTAGGTCAACATGATATACCATCACGAAGGCTGATGGCCAAGCCATCCTGATTTAGCAAAGGCAAGTCACTTTGGTTTCTAGTATAGCACGACCTAAACAAAAGGCTCAGTCTGGGAGTTGTGCATGGTCGGTCTGTACTCCTGGTTAGACCGGACACCGTATCAGCCAAAGACAACGGCAGACATACAGTTGACCATTTCCAGTGAACAGTTTATTAACAAAAGATGGTGGATGTCATAGCAGGGTGCTCACTGCAGATTTCAAAACACAAACATAGCAGAACAAAGAGAGATCAGCATAATACAGTGACAGAGAAGGAATTGAATATCTGGAGATTGCACACCGAAAGGTGTGCCCACAAATAGACGCACAAGGCTAGCGCACACAAATTTCTAGAACAAATTCTCTGAAATGTTATAAAACCAAGCGCCGGTTATGTGTGCAGCACGACGGGCTAAAGACTTCTCAATCTGAAACAGATATGCGCAAAGCGATCTGTCCCAAGTACCAGTCATAGTTGAAAGCCTCAAACCCAAAGACCCCAATAGACATACGCAGAAGAGAACATGTCAGGGTTACTCTTAGGGCGAAGGCAACTCAGATTTGATCGTGCATTTGAATTCATACACTAGCTTTGTAGTGTACCAATTCCCCTCCAAGAAGTGAATGTGGCGCTGAAATCGATAGCCCGGGTCTTGCTGAAGATGCTGAGCCCCCATAAGCAACGGTCCGGCAAAAATAGCATGTTTAGAATAATTTAGTGAATGCATACTGCATTGATCCACAGGGATTGAGTTTTCAACAGTCGGCAGTGAGTGGGCTATGCCGTAATGTCGCGTATAAAAGCAGGTGCCCACGGAATATAAGCCGGGGTTCAAACCATACTTCTACGTCAATATCATCAGTGTACAACGTGCAGTGCATACTGCCACGCATGTAATGTGCAAGTACGTGCATATGTCATTGTCGTGCTTCTGTGTCACAACGTGCTTGGAACATTGGCTTCTATTCGAGTAATGATTCTATACAAACCATGCTTTTATACTGGACACTACAGTAATTTTATTTACCTAAAATGAACAAATATATAACACAATACTATCCAAGCACAGCCCAAAATCTGCATAAAAATAGATATACCAGGGCCATATTTTATCGCCCAATACCATGCCTACGTGTACTGGGTCGGGTGCACATAGTGTTAAAAATAATGTTCTGCACACTAGTCTACACAATCATTATTAACGTGATAGTGCACCAACGAAAACCTCAAATCTCAACAGTGTAGGTCATGTTATCATACCTTCTTCTTTCCAGCGCCAACCTTGGCCTTCTTTGTACCACGGACCTTCATCTGCCTGTGCTTCTTCTCCTTACGTTGCTTACGGCTGGCTGTGCGCTTAGCACCGATTCCGTGCTGAATGAATATACACAACAGTATAATAAATGGAATAAAGCCAGTCTGAAAAGTGCATAAGCTGTCCCTGAGGAACACTACATAGAAGGACAACCAGAACGGGGACCTATTTTGAGTTTCCTTCTTCTAGCGTGGTGGACATGTTTCATTGGATAACATGTATGTGTTACTGGTATACTACGCACATGTTCATAAACACATGATACATATACACACTGTCATTACAAATCGGCTTGAGCAGGTTCCGAAACCAATTTTCTTGATGAAGTGAATAGATTCACCAAGGCACTGCATCACGTCCCAAATCGAGCACAATAAACCACATGAACGTAATTTCGTATCTTGTGGGCGGCACATGTATGCATGAAGCACGATACCTAGGATAAAAATTGAAAGTTCAATACACAAAAAGTCGTGAAAATAGTCAAGATTCACAATTATAATTTTGACGTTGATTTGACAATTATTATTATTCCACTCGACACAAAAAATTCGAAATTTATTACAAAGTGCTCCCAATGTTAGCAATTTCAGATGGAATACTTACACGGAGGAGTCTGTACTTAGGCTCGAACTTCTTGGCGATAGCCAAATTGTCATAGATGAGGGCGAATCCGGTTGATCGTCCACCACCATACGCAGTTTTGAATCCAAAGACAAACACTGAGTCTGATGGGGATTTGTACATCTTTCCAAGCTTTTCTCTCAGGTCAGCCTTGGAAACATTGGGCTTGTTGGGGTGGATGACATCCACAACCTAAAGTCACACAGCATAGATCTCCATAAGTCACATTACTTGTTCTTGTCTCTACTACATTGAAGTTCACAATTCTCCATACACGTACCATTTGCTTGCGTTGAAGCAAGCGGTTGGTAATAAACTTCCGCGTGCGGATGGTAACTGCGGCGTTCTCGGCCTGCACGGCAAAAACATATCGTATACGGCACCATCATCTCCATATCCATTGGGAGTAGGGTTGAAAATTTTGGAAACGGGGTAAAGACAACTACCTACCATTTTGCCAGTTCTGGAAGAGGAACGCAATGGGCGCATGCGCAACGCTGTATACTGAAGAAAATACGCAAAAAATTGTGCTTTCTGCAGTGCAGTGACGTAACACTAGCGGCAGGTTTCGCTGAGGGTTTCACACGCGACTCGCGGATCGTCTGGCTAGGCGCCGCGATTCTCACATCGAGCGGAAGCGCGAAACGATCGTCCGTGTGATCGACGCATGCGTACTGCACAGGTACGTCACAGGCCTGAAGCCGTGAAGGGAATGTCAGCTAAACTGCTTGAAGCTTTCCGTGTTGTTTGTGTTCATGTCGTCGTTCGTCCTGAGTTCCTGTGTCAATCCAAATCAGTGGTGGAGTAATACTTGGACTTTAGCCCATTGGCTGGCCTTTGGTCATTGAAGGCAGCAAGCCATGGCTTCAATGCTGACGAAGGTGAAACAGGCCGTTTCTAAAAAGAAGCGGCGGTTTACTGATGATGGATATGACTTGGACCTAACCTGTATCCTAATCTGTATGCCACTTCACTTACTTTTGCATTTCTGTTCAAATTTTTGTTAGCCAGTTCTTACTATTCTTGTGTGCCAACTATTTTATTGATAAAGTGGAGGTGTATTGTTTACTCCTACTGCTTTCCTTAATTCACGGACTTTAGATATCACTCCGCAGCTTGTCGCCATGGGGTTTCCTGCCGAAAAAATCGAGGGACTTTACAGGAATCACATGGACGAGGTGGTTCGGTAAGTTGTTTGTGGCGACGCAGGGCCGGAATGAAAAGCAGCAACGCTCAGCTACTTGGTGCAGTGTACGGGACGTCTTGGAAGAGCTTATGCATAAGGCTGGAAATTTGAAATTTGCTCCGGTTGAATGGAGTTGGAAATTGAAGCTGACGGGAGTGCCACAGTTGCTGTGGTACTCATTCATTCTTGGAGTTATCGTTACCATTCGTGAGCGTTTGGTGCGTTGGAGTAGGATATTGCTGGTGTTTCCTCAGTATCTTGAATGGGACATGTCCTCTGAATACGACGAAGTTAGTGTCAGGAATACCACCTAGCCATCTGTCCAGAGTGATGCCAGCTGGGCTGCGTATGAGCTGGTGGAGGAAGTGTTCAAGTCAGCACCTGCTCAGTTCCTGCTGCAGGCCCTGCTTGCCTGCAGGAGTGCTTCGCTGTGAGCCTGTGCCTGTTGCCAGCTGGTTATGACATGGTGACAGCTTGCCAGTTTGTTGACACTGCTAATGTTGCTCATGAAGACTTACAGTGGCCACAGTGGCGTACGATATGCAGTGACTGGTTGTTGGTGGCACTGGATTCTTTGCTGCTTGCCCTGACGTTTCTGCCATGGAGAGCCGATGAAATAGTCGGCATGTGTGTTGATTGTCCTGTGCTAGTACATAAACGTTCCTTCAGGGCTGTAGTGTGCAATATTTGTACACGTTGGAGACCATCATGCACATATTCATTGCCAGTTCGTCTATAATGCAATCACCGTGCAGTGTAATCGAGGCTGGCGGTATAATTTCCGTGATGTCGCTTATAAAGGCGGGTTTATTCCTTCAGAAGCCCCATGTCTGTACAAGAGTTTTATTCAAATTAGGCTTGAGTAAATAAGCTCCAACGAGTGTGCAACTCGGCATACAGGGTGACCGGCGGCGAAAACCAACCTCACGTAGTCTCAGTATGATGTGCACTGGGTACAACGAACGCTAGCGTGGGCACAATCCAAATATCTGCCGTGATCATGCTGATGAATCGCATAAGTTGAGTGGGTTTCTGTCTGGAGTGCTATTTTTTTTGGAACACTACGCCATGTGATGCGAGTTTTCGCCGTCGGCGGACCCCATAGAAAGGGCACCCAGAGTTGCACACTCTTAGAAGCTTATGTACTCACGCTTGTATTCAAACAAGGTATTTCAATGCATGTCAACCCTAAAGCCATGCTTGTGTGCCGACAATACCTTTTTTGAAGATCAGGCTTGTTTTTGTAACGGGCTTCTCGACGAGACGCGCTTTTACACAAGACTATCTGGTACTAGTATTTACCCAGCAACAGGCACATGGCGAAGGCAGTCCAACTGTCTTTGCAATGCCTAGCTTCTTCCATCGTGTGTTGTGTTGCAAGCTACTTAAATAGACCAATGTCTGTCATTGTCCTGTTGCGCGCTACAGTTTTTCTTTGTTAGGATATACCTGTGTTGAACAGTCCAAGCTAAGGTGGTTTCTTGTGTGCGTGGATGCTTTCCTTTTAGGTTTTTCGACAGCAAGCATGCAGACCATTACAAAGTATACAATCTGTAAGGTCCTATGTGGAACTGCCTTTAGCTTTGTAGTGCCCATTGTTGTTTTGTTAGTGCTTGATCTTGATGTGTTTTGGTGACAGCATGTCACAAGGTGGATGACACACTGTATGGAAAACATGTTAAACTATCAAGCAGGGTTTGCTTTTACCATTGATCTTGATCTGTAGATCCGGCATGAACTAGTACTCGACTCAGTTGTACGCCTGGGGAATCGCCTGTGCTGCGTTTTTCATCTCCAAGAAATGCGTATGCTTCGTCCTATGGGGCGCAGTGTTTGGAGTGGTATCATATGCCTTCCTTGTGGGATTGTCACCTGTCAATAATTGATACCGTGGTTCTCAGTAGAGACTTGTGATCTTGTGAAGTACTGTTGACAGATCCACTATTTTTTCTTATGGTCGTGTCCGTCCTGCTGTATTTCTTCTTGTTTAGGTGTTCTGAAAGAATCTATGACACATCCCGCTTTCACGGCAGAGGTAAGTCTCCTGTTGTTTCTCGCACACTTCGAAACCCATTTCTTTTAGTCCCTTTCATGTTCCCGAACAATTAGGGGATGGCTGTTCCCATCGCATAGATGCCCAGTGGCCTTGCATGTTCCTATTCCAGAATTTGTTGACCAATGTTTTGCTTAGGAGAATGATGTGAAGAGTCTGAAGACGCCAATGTATTTACCGCCATTTCATCAGGTGTGTGTTTAACCACCATTTCTCTTCTATTGTTTTGCTTGACGGTTGTATCCTTGTGTGTTGTGCAGTTGCTCTGTATCAGTTCGACGACCATAATGCACCTCCGTTTGAGCTGGTGCAGCCGTTTTGCAGCGACGTTGATGAGTTCTTGAATCAGGACCCAAAAAATGTTGCTGTGGTACATTGTAAGGCAGGCAAGGTTAGTTCACGACTATGATACTCTCTTCCCTTTACTCTGTGCTGTTGTGTGTCACATGTGTCTCTACTTGTGGAGGCGAGTTTTAGTCGTGCTCCTGCACTTCGTTTTCGCCATCCTGATTTTGAGTTTCTCTCACCGAGAGCGCCAAATAAGCTAAAAAAAATGGAACTCCCGTGGTTAATCATTATAATACTAGTGGTAAAGTCACCTCCCACTTGATGGTGTCCTCCGGCTCGCTGTTAAACAGTTTCAGGACATGTACTACTGGTATATTCTGCACTGTCTTTGGTGAGAGGGTTTGGCTGAAGCCCCTTGATGATTCTCTTTTTGTTTACCTCCTTTGGTGGTACCAGTAATCCACTGACAGGTGTCAACTTATCCTTCACTTTTGATGGTTTATTTCTGTGTTGCAGGGCCGCACGGGTGTTATGATTTGTGCATTTTTGTTACACTGTCGGAAGTTTCCCTCCTACAAGGAGACCCTGGACTTCTATGGAACCAAGCGCACGCAGAACAACAAGGTTTGTCTTAGATTTGATTTTAACTATTGAGGCTTTGATACTGTTGACCTATTAAATCTCAATACTGGGAAGGTTGAGTGTTTCCCCCGCTTTTCACGGCCATGGAGTTGATACTTTCAATGTCTCTCCAGTGTGGAAATAATTTCCACTGCCTCGGTGGTCATTAATACTTGTCACTCTCAGTGCGCTTGCTTGGAAGGCTTTACAGTCTGCGTGGACATGACAAATATGGAGATAAGATGCATATTGATTGGAGCTTCAAGCTTCGATATAACAGTGTATTGCCTATGACGTCATAAATATCCAACCGGAACTTCACAGCATGAAAAAATAAAATCACGCAACCACATCACTACAGTTGCCTTTTTTATTTCCGCTCGACACGAAGTGATTTAGAAAATCTGAGCTCTTCTTCTCGCGATTAGAGATGAATGAAAACTCAATCCGGCAACCTGTTTCATCAGCCGTTATGGATCTCCTTGCTCCGATCAATGGTCGTCGCCGTGCTTTGGAAGCGACAGCGGAATGTAGAAGGGATCTGGCCAGGGGCCAGTCCTCGCAGTCCAATGGATCGGAGCCAAAACTTTCCAGGTTGAGTGCATGCACTCAACCCCGGGAAATCGCCAGTTCCTTGGGCATGCCCAAGTCTGGTTTGTCAGGTGGAAGTTTGTTGCTTCCACCTAGCTCCTCGAGTGGGCAGGCCTGCTCGAGTGATGCTGATTTGAACGACACCACGAGTGGGCAGGTACCCTCGTGTATGGACGTGAGCATGGACGACCCGGAGCATGCTCCGATGTCCTCAGATATAAAACAGTTCCTTCAGACTCGCTTCAGGAAGCCCTTGAAGGGCAAGGAGCGCAGGGACCTAGTAGAGCAGTTTTCTCGACCAGATGTGGACGTGGCGGTCACACCTAAACTAGACCATGAGGTGCTGAATTTACCTGGTGTAAGGCAGTCATTCAAGAGGTCGCGAGACAACATGTTGTACTCGCTACAGAGCAGCGTATTGGATTGTTTGGGTCCTCTCTCTGCCCTGATGATGGAGGCCAAGGCAGCGCAGGACGCTGGTGCAGGCCTAGACCCGCAAGCTGTATTGGACATGGTGCCGGCTGGCTTGTCTCTGCTGAGCAATGCCAACAGTAAGCTCTCGGTGCTGAGGCGCTAGGAGTTCCTACAGCATCTTGATAAGAGCCTGGTACCCATGGCGGAGGAGCCATTTGATAAAGCGGGCACGGCCCTGGTCGGCCCGGAACTATTGGAGCACATCCAGTCCAAGGCAGAGTCCCAGGAGGCGCTGGGCTTGGTTGTGAAACAATACAAGGACGCTCGAGCTCCTCCGCAGTCGAGCGACAGCAAGTCTGGCTCTGGAGGGGCGTCAGCGGGTGAACGCCAGTTTTTCCGAGGTACTGGGGTCAGCAGGTACGGCGGTGGCTCGCGGTACGAGCCTTACACCAGCCCGTACAACCAGACTCAATATAGCCGAGCCGGTCGTGGCTATGCTAACCGAAGCTGGATGCTTCCCCCACCAGAGCAACAGGACGGTCAAGGACCGGACACCAGCTACTCAGCATAGCGGCAGTGTGGATGTTAGTGCCAGAGGAGGTCTGGACTGGCGGATGCTATTCATCGTATTGGCTCAAGACTGGGCTTTGCCTCTCTAGCAGGTGTGTTTCGCGCCTTGTCCAGTACCGGAGCTCTGCTCGGTACAGCATGTGTGTTGGCGTAGGTTTCGCACTCCGCATCGTGGCGTACGGCGGACAGCACGTAGCCGTCCCTCTTACGGTCATTCCAGGGGGCCTGGCATCAGCGGCAACAGCCACTTACAGTGCAGCCGTTCTCAGCTCCGGGGTTTGGGCTATGGCCTGACCTGCTGCTATCAGGACACTTAGGTGCCTGTCCCGTGACTAGAATGTTATCCATGCATGGGAATGAATATGTTTATCCCACATGTGTTTATGTGTCGTGTGCGCTTTGAAGTATACACTGTTATATCGAAGCTTGAAGCTCCGATGCGCAATTTCCCATTTCGTTAGCAATGGTACATTGTGACGGGAAGTGGGAGTTGTGCTAGGAGCTGAGAGCGAGATATAACAGTGTCCCACCCGCCCTCCCATTATGGGTTGGTGGATATTTTGGGCATGATTCATTTTTTCCTGTCACATATCCGTAGTCTCGCTTCACTAAAAAAGGCGACTGTAGTGATGTGGTTGAAAGGAAAAGGACATATGGAAACGAGTTAAGAGTAACTCTCCACCACTGTAACTAGATACTATATACAGTCAGAAAGTGCAACAACTAGTGATTTTATTCGATTTTATTCCCGTAGCTATGCAGAAGACGTTACTTCAGTAACGTCTGGCGCTAGCCAGGGTCCACACAGCTTTAATTTGGTGTTTGTTTGTTTGTGTCACGCCGGGCGCTATCCCGTATCTGTCCCGTACTGTACCGTACCAGCAAAGACAGCTGGCCACAATATTTTTGTTTGTTTGTGCCATCGACATGCCTGGCGCTATCCCGTACCTGTCCCATACCATAAAGAGTACGGTACCATCCAGAGAATAAGTATATATGCGAAGTGTATCGGGGGAATGCATTCAGTGCAGTAACATTTTGTGTGGATTTGTGTGCGAGGCCGAGATCCCACTAGCAGGCTGGCTGGGCCGCCTGTCGACCAGCCCGGGAATCGCATGTAGGCGGATAGCATAATAATTATAACGTTCATACAGTCATGTAGATGTATAGCAGGGAGTCATATTATGTAAACGACTCCCTGCTGTATGGGGAGATTTTCTGGAAAGAAATACGAAGTAGGGAGACGAGTAAATGCAATCAGAATGGATGTTAGTTGCCGTCAGTATAATAAGAAGAAGATAAACGCCTGTGATCGGCAGAGTCAGCGCCGGTCCCAGGAGACGTCAGGACAGACATCCCGTCGACTCCAGAACGCCCGTGATCGGCAGAGTCAGCACCGGTCCCATAGCTATGCAGAAGTTGTTACTTCAGTATCTCATTGAAACGTTTTTGCAATACAATGATGTAGCTAATCAAAGGAAAAAGCATTTCCATCAGTTCTAACAACATGCACAAGGAGCTAGGCAATGAAGCATAGCGCAGGGCCCTGAGCTTCCAAGCTCTCTCGTTTTTTCATGCTGCGAAGTTCCGGTTGGATATTTATGACGTCATGGGCAATACACTGTTATATCTCGCTCTCAGCTCCTAGCACAACTCCCACTTCCCGTCACAATGTACCATTGCTAGCGAAATGGGAAATGTGGCAGCCCAGGCCCGCACACCATGTGCATGCAAGGAAAGGAAAGCATGGGAGCCAGAGAATGCGGTGTTCCTCCAATTGCAGATGTATGGACATACTTGACTTTTGATATGGCGTGTTTTACGTGTGTGCTGTAAATCTTCACTGACAGTCTGTACATTGTACTTTCCTGGTGCTTTCTTGCTTCTGCTCTCCTCAGGGTGTGACCATTCCAAGCCAGCGGCGGTATGTCAAATACTACGAGCACTTTGTACGGTGAGTGAACCGTGTGCCCCCACCGAATCTGTATTGTGACAGCAAAGGACACTTGGTATGGTGACTGGAAGCAGTCACCGCCTGCAGTACTTATCCATGTACTGTTAACTTCCAAGTACATCAGATTTTCCTTTCAACTAGGGAAAGGAAAATCAAGTATGTCGTGCAGTAGATCTTATTGAACTAGAATCACACATGGTGGCACACAATCCCACTGTGTGTAGCCCAAACTTGACACAAGTACACATTGATTGCAGTAGGTGTACTTCAAGTATAGCGTATGTGCTGCGCGGCCCATTGTCGTTCATCTGGCCCTTTCTCCATGGTCCTTATGCACTTTGTACAGATGTACGAAATTCTGTCTAGGGCCATAAGTGCGTACATGCCCAGTTGAGTGTTCATTGTGTGCTATAACTGCGTTTTTGACCAATTATCTCTAAACCTCCAGGTTGACATGTATGACTCTTCTTTGCGTAGTGTGATGTTTGCTTTGTGACTTTGTCTGGGTGCCTTTCACTATGTTCTGCAGGCATAGCCTCACGTATAGTCCGTGCACGTTGCTATTACACAAGCTCATCTTCGAGGGCATCCCAACCTTATCAGGAAGTGGCTGCTGTAAGTTTGTATGGGCCAAGTTTTGGTGTGCTTTTTTGAAACTTATACTTTTACATAAATGACTGGGTCCGAGCTGTGGGTAATGAGGTATGCATCTGATGTTCTTGCGTGCTGGTGTTGTCATTCAAACAATGTTTGTGTATGACTTTGTAAATTTACTCTCACGGATATTGGTGTGTTTGCTAGTAGTCTAGTGTACTTCCAGTGTTGTGCGTATGGAGGAACTTGTCAGCCTCTGCTGATTTGGTGCCTTAACGTAACCACTATCTGGTTGTCTGTATGTGTGAACCTTTGCCATTGCTCTCCTCTGCAGCTGCGCAGTTTACAATCAGACAGGCGAAAGTCAAGATCTACACGTCCAGAGTGTATGAGGTATGCATGTGTATGTTATTGGTGATGTGCTGTTTGTTCTTGTGTAGCAGCTGTGACACTAGTACAGTAATTGGCAATGCCCGTAGAAATTGTTTGCTCTTATCGTGATTGCATTTTTATCCTGTATTTGCTTTCCCAGGCTGACCGCGACAAGGGAGATTTCAGTGAACTTGAGCTAGTACCGCCGACGCCTGTTTGTGGTGACATCAAGATTGAGTTCTTCCACGCGCCGAGATACCGGACGGTAAGTGATGCTGAATCTGTTCTGGCGTACATAGCCTTGCTTGTTCTGTCTTGGACTTCTCAGTTGTCTAAATGTAAAGGGGAAGTTAAGGCTGATATCAAAATTTCACCAGTTGTAGTCTTCGGGGTGCTGAGTCGAATGGCCGTGGTCCGAGGAAGCTGAGACGCTCCCTTCCTACTTTAATCCCAATCGAACTCGCGCACTACCATCGAAACTGGGTGACTGCGCCCTACTAGATGGGGATTTGTATGCAAAATGTCACTAAAAGCGCCATTTCGTTCTTATAAAAGCATGGATGACCGCGATTGGCCCATATGTTATAGTCTTTTGGACGCTGAGTCGATTGGTTTTGGTCTGAAAAGGCTGCGATGCAGCGTTCCTCCTTTATTCCCAAGTGAACATGGTTGAACAAGCGGTCACATGCTCCTGCGTACACCAGTTACCTGGTCACGGTGCCTGCAGGGTACAACTTACTAGCCTGTTGACCTTTTTTGGGTGCAGTCCTGTCACTCGAGTTGAACCTTGGTGTGAAAGTTGTCGCCTACTGGCGTGGTGACCAGGTGATTTGGGCACCCAGGAGCACGTGACCGCTTCTTCAACCATGTTCGATTGGGAATAAAGGAGGAACGCTGCATCGCAGCCTTTTCGGACCAAAACCAGTCGCCTCAGCGTCCAAAAGACTACAACATATGGGCCAATCGCGGTCATCCATGCTTTTATAAGAACGAAATGGCGCTTTTAGTGACATTTTGCATACAAATCCCCATCTAGTAGGGCGCAGTCACCCAGTTTCGGTGGAAGTGCGCGAGTTCGATTGGGATTCAAGTAGGAAGGGAGCGTCTCAGCTTCCTCGGACCAAGACCATTCGACTCAGCACCCCGAAGACTACAACTGGTGAAATTTTAATTTTTGCCTTAACCTCCCCTTTAACTTCCCCTTTAAGAGTGTTGGCTTGTTACTTCCTCCGCGTCATCGAAATTGTCGCAGTTTGACTTTTGATATAAAATGGGGTATTTACTCACCAGCAGTCGTACCACAGGTAAAGCGGGATTCACAGAAGCTTTTTTGCGATGCGACGGCCGCGAAACCGGGAAATCCCCAAATCGCAGCCATCTCGCACCCCACGCAAATGGGTCATCGCAGAAGTTGAGCTTGACTCGCGACAAGCGATTTGGCATACGATTTTGACCTTTTCTACAGCAAAGTTGTACAAAAGTTCAAGAGTTGCCTGTAAATTTGTACAAGTTGTACCAAACCGCGCGAATACCATGGTGACGCACCCACCTGCATTGAACTTCGTGCCAAATCAGCAAGTCGTTGTCGCATCGCTGACTTCTTCTGTGAATGGTATTTCGCGAGTTCGCATCGCACGCCTCCGTCGCAGATCGTGTCGCATCGCATCTGAGTTGAGCCGAACTCAAATTTTTCATAGCTCAGCTGTATATCCATGGATCTTTACAAACGATGGCTCTCTGGAAAGATATCATGGCAAGGCAGACAGCTGTGAAGAGAAAATGCAGCGAAAATAGTCTTCCTCGCGAGGGCGCCTGAGCGAAGTCCGTTTGCTGCATTTTCGTAGCATCTGCACTTTCTCACGCGCGCGATCGATCGCAGTACAGGCAACTTTGAACGCACGAAACTCTGACAAAGTTGGCCTGAAAGCCACTGACAATCTCGATGTTTTGATACCCAATACGCATGGGTTGCCGCGAAAGAAATTGAGAAGCCCGCGATGCGCATACGTCATGTTTTCTACGCGCGACAATTGTTTGTCCGAGCGCGCGCGCTTCAGGCTTCGCCCTGGCGATATCTATCCTCACGGACACAAAACGATGTGATGAGCCGATAGCCAAGGTCTTCCTGAACACTTAGAGTGGTCGTTTGTAACTCTCCTGTGTGTAGAAGTGGAGATACTAATTTATTTGTACATACATACTCTTTCTGGGCTTAAGTCGCCCGTGGCACTGAGAGGGTTAAGGAATCGGACATAGGCGATAGTCATCAGTATAGGGTGACGGCAAAGTTCTATTTTCTGTTATCGGAAGCTGAAAATTTTGAACTGGACGCAATTTCTTCGCTGATATCGCTGCGGTGGTACTTTCGACTCGCTGAGATCAGTCAGGCGTTGCAGCCTGCACATTTCTCGTGCTTATAGCCGTTCATTCAAAAACTCATCACTGTTTTACCTTAGCTGGGGTGAGAATGACTTCGTGGAACAAGCGGCAGCGCTTGGAGAAACATCGAAGGGTCAGCAACCTAAATGCATGCAAGAGCTATAAAATGTGTCGCTCTGGCTGAGACACTCGGTACCTGCAAGAGCCGTGTAGTGCTAGTGATGCACGCGCAGGTACCGTACCAGTGATACTGAAAAGTGTGCGCGCTGGACGTGATAGTACACTTACCTGCATGAGCAGTGACTACACAGCTGAAAATAAATGGGTATGCCATGGCTAAAAAAAGTTCATTTTAAATCGAGGTGATTCCGCCGACGGTAGTCAACCGACCTCGCGACGATCGTGTTTTCTTACTTCGTTGGTGGTGAAGTAGAAATCATCCAGAGCTAGCAGACGACAAGCATAGCAGCTCTTGTCCTGGGGAGAAAGTCAAAGCGTTGGAGATGTTCTGCGACCAACTTACAACCTTCCTAGATATTTTTCGGAACGATATTTTTGCATCCATTGACATCAGCGACGACGAGGCCTTCAACTCTGCGTGAAAACTCTCAGTCCAACTGTCCTGGAACGTTACTCTAGACTTCAGACTATCATACTGTGTGATAATTTTTGTATGGTCTATCTTAGGCCATCATTTTTTATAGCTATGTTTCGCGTCGTCCGCACGCATACGTTTTGATTTTTTTCGGAAAAAAAATAAAAAATCGAACATGCACAGTGAGTGTACGATCGTGCGAGTCATTAGTGTGGACTGGTTGAATACGGCGAAGCTGGGATTCAGAAATGGCCTCTAGGCCAGCGTTGGTAAATCGTTTGTTCGGCATCTGGGAGCAATATTCTATGAGCTTACACCAGACCGCATTGATCGTTTATCTTAGGCCATCATTTTTTATAGCTATGTTTCGCGTCGTCCGCACGCATACGTTTTGATTTTTTTCGGAAAAAAATAAAAAATCGAACATGCACAGTGAGTGTACGATCGTGCGAGTCATCAGTGTGGACTGGTTGAATACGGCGAAGCTGGGATTCAGAAATGGCCTCTAGGCCAGCGTTGGTAAATCGTTTGTTCGGCATCTGGGAGCAATATTCTATGAGCTTACACCAGACCGCATTGATCGTCTCGAGCTGAGAGGATGCGTCGTTCCGGAGCTCTTTACACCGCTGCTGAAGTCTAAGTACAATAATCCAGCGAAGCATAGGCACCAATGGTTGCCTCCTCTGTCCAAAATGAATATTTACTCATGCTGATAACCCAGATGTTGTGCTTCGATGTACGATTTTTCTTTCAAATGTACACCATGCACGAGCTATTGTGCTATGTACAGTGCATCTGAGTCTTTTTATTATTTTGCAATTTATTATTTTTTCCACCTCTCGCATATGATTCTGGAGGTTGAACTGACGCGAAACATAGATATAAAAAATGATGGCCTTATGGAGCTGTCAGTAACAAGTGACAAGTCGCTAGTCAAACTGCGACAATTTCGATGACGCGGAAGAAGTACTAGAATTTCCAGTTCGATCACATGTTATGTTATCTTTATTTTACTTCACCATAGATACAGGTATCGCAGCCTTCTTGCTGTGGATCACATTATTTTTTCTCCATAACCATTCTGTTATTGCAGGAAAAGATGTTTCACTTCTGGCTCAATACCTTCTTCGTCAACCACAATTGTTTGGATGATGGTGGTATTTCAACGCACGCGGTGCGTGCGAGTGCATCGTCTTCAGCGTCGTCGGCCGGTGTGGGTACCACGGTTTCCAATGACAGTATTGGTATGGCAGCACATCACGTGCGGACTCAGCACTGTGCCCCGTCGGCGTCCGGCCCGATTCGAACGCACGGCCATGCGTCCGCATCCAGTCACAGTGCGGGTGCCTCCGCAGCTGCGTATGCGCCGGATAGTGTAGCGGAAGAGCATCGGCATGCTGAGGCGGCTACCCTCAACAGGTAAGGTTACTAGGTGGGCCTTTTTGTCTCTGCGTTCAGTGTCTCTATAGTCGCAAGAATCGATACTAGGTGTTTCATTTGTGTTACAGTCAGCGGTTGCCGTAGCGATATTTATTCTGCAAGCTATTGGATGCCGGCCTGTTGAGTACAGTCGGTTACTGATAAGCGGCATACGTTTTGCTATATCATTATATGGACAGCATCTGCTGATACTGTAGTGTAGTTGAGCATGCCCAAGTCACCTAGCTGGTACATCAAGGTTTCCCCAATAAATCATGTGCATGTACGTGTCCAGGCAGCCGATCGAGGGCTGCATACAGTGCATATGCATTTGTTTGCTCCCACTTGCATAAGTTGGTCATGAGGGTCGATATATGGCTGACAGCAAGAGTGTGTAACCCCCAAGAGTATGCAACTGCCTGCACAGCCTCTATACAGTGCTGCAACGGCAGAACAGACCCCTTTGCTGGAGCTGCACACTCTTGGGGGTTGTGTACTCTTGGTGACAGAGAAACCACTTTTTCTTAAACTTCCAGGCCCAGTGCGAATATTCCAAGTCAAATGAATGGGTACATGACGTGACGAAAGGACCATTGTTGGCATTTTTTGTTATTTTATTGATGTTGATGTCTCCCTAGCAGCAGGAATAACAAGGGGGCTCCCATCCATACCTACAGAGTTTCTTCTGAGCACTTTCATGCTCTAACCCACTTGAAGTAGACTGGACATGTCCAGCCTTATCAGTGAAGGATGCGATCATAAGGCTGGCAATGCCATGAGCAATTACTCGGACCCTTTGGCCTGTAGGCAATGCACCCAGTAATTTTCTCTGCCGTTTTTCTGTGGCCATCGACCGGGAAGGATGAGAGTGGCCCTGTTCGGCCGAAAAGGAAAGAATACATGCACCGTACTTGTCATCGTGTCTGGAGAAAATGTGCTACGGCACTTTGGCGTCGCTTATTGTCATGAACCTCCTCAGTTTTAACGACGTGGTTGTGCTACCATTGGCTGTTCACATGCTCCCTGTCGCAGCAGCGTACATATTTGTGCAATGTCCTGCTGACTGTGTTATTTTCGGTCATGCGCTCTTATTTTGCCAACCACAATTGTATGGCCGGTTGTAACGCGCACGTGCGAACTTCACCTTACTTTTACGTTGCGGGATTGCAGGTTTACTTCCCAGGTTTGGCGGTGAAGATTATTACCGCCTCCGGGAGATCCATCTTGGATTGGGTGCCGGACTTGGGTCGGGGAGGCAAAGGAGATAAGCTCCGTCCTCACCATGTTGGGCTTATTGGAACGGGCGGGCGGTCTTTAGCGCCTTCCCCCTACAGTGAAATTAACTTTGGGCTACCTTCACCTGCTCCGTGTCTACTCACGCTTTGTACCCCTCAACTAAGTATACCGTACCTGTCCTGTGCTCTTGGCTTGTGTGTGTCTGTTAACTCCTCCAGCAGTGTCAAATCGTCCGAGTCAACCATTTCTAATCTTGCGCCCCGGAGCCAGCTTTACACCTATCAGACTTCGTCCAACTTCCGCGTTGTGACAATCTTACATCAAAACCTCGACAAAGCCAACAAGGATAAACGGCACTATCCGCCCAATTTCAAGGTATGCTTTTACATGCTGGCATATTGTGAGTGGTGTTTTTGGTTTGCTATATTCACTCGCAGTGTGCTATTCGTATGGTACATAATCATTTCACCTGATTTCGCTTTGGATTTATTCTATACGCTTTGCTGCGGGTGTCTTAGCCTACAAAGCTCTTTGTCCGATGCCATTGAGCCTTTCAACCTACTATAACAGTGTACTAGTCAGTTTGGGCATACCGCTAATGATTTTTTTCTGTGTGCCAGTTACGTTTTTTAACTTTATAGTAGAGAGGTTCTGCACTACGTAAAGTTGAGCAACTTTACGTTAGTGGGCGGGAAAACCCATAAATTCGCGAGTTTGCAATTCACTTACGGAAAGTTGTCCACGGAGATTACATAGATAGGGCTCTGATAACGTAGGTGCTCCGTAAGTGGATTGGAGTACAAATTTATGACTCTCTCCCCAGGTCGATCCAGTCGTACATTGCCACATTCGGAATTGCCAAGGGCAGCTACGTGATCTGAAAACTCCGTATGGCGGAACACAAATCCGCATGCAGTTTACGTAAGACTTTTTGTAGATCGACTACATTTTTTACTCACGTAATTACGTTATGCGGAACCTCTCTACTGAGACATCTTGAATGTAATGTTGTATTTCCATTGGCCGTTTGTGTTTTTGTCCAGGTTCACTTAGTCTTCAGCGGTTTAAATCAGCCATCATCGACATCTGACCTGCCGCAAAATGCCGACGCCGTGTCCTCTACTTCTGAAGAGGACTTGTACAATTACTCCGACACCGACCCAGAGGACTTTGAGGATTGGAATCAGCCCCAGGGTGGTACACTAAAGGACGGTTCGACTGTCGTATGACCCTGTAGTGTGCTATATTTTTCTTACTTGTCCACTCTGTTATCGTCATTGTCATCGTCAGCTGTAGACTATTGTGCTTCATCTATTTTCTTTTGTGTCTAGATAGTCGTCATTGTCGTATGCTGTGTGCAATCGTCCGTCGTCCCGCTGTACAGGACGTCTGTTCTGTGCCTTGCGCCTTGTTCTATTATGTGTTCTTTTCTATACTGTTTAGCGCTATGCCTAGCTTGTTGTGCCCGTAGGATATTTGTCATTTTGGCTCCTGTTTTGAGCATGTCCCCTTAGCCCAGGCTTCAACCCTCGTTCCGACTCGAGCGAATTAAGTTGATTGCTCGTTTGTCCCCGCGTCTGTGTCCTTGTGCTCGTGTTGTTGTCATCGTCTCCGACCACTTGTTCACCCCCAGCTTCATTGATGGCTACTCAACCCCCGCCTCTTCCCAATATTTCCTCTACTGTTTGCACTTTCATACCTTTGTCGCTCCTGACCACACAGCTGTATGCCCTCATGCAGCATGCTGCTGCTGTTGCTACCGTTTTCCGTACTATCAATACTGCTGTGTGTGTGTGTGTGTGTGTGTGTGTGTGTGTGTGTGTGTGTGTGTGTGTGTGTGTGTGTGTGTGTGTACTGTCCGGTGTGTACTGTCCGGTGTGTGCCAATGCCTCTTGAGAGCTCCAACTTCTCTGCTCCGTGCGTGTATATTATATGCTACAGTGCTGGCTGACTTGTGTTCTGTACATGGATGTAATAGTATGTGAAATGTTGTGTACATGTGAAAGCTAATGTGGTTTGGTGGCTTGTCAGTTTTGTTCACATTTTGGGAGCCTTGATTAATTAAATTTACCAGCCATCCCATACTTTGTGTTCAGTACTATTGTTCTTTTTATTTATTTGTCATTTTATGCAACGATCATGTCCCATGAACATAGAACGTCCTCATTGAAACAATGACCTCATTGCCTTCTGACCTGCTGTGTTTGTTTGTTTGTGCACTCGTGAACAGAGGTACAGTTGCGCTTAGGACATCTGACCCAAAGACATGAAAGTGCAAAAAAACTGATGCTCTGGACCAGTTCCAGGGCGTCAAGGCCGGTGGGGTCGGATCTCGCTGAGCACAACAGTACCTATTTCATGTTATTTGCTTGCTCTGTTCTCAAGAGTCCATGACCTCTGTACTAATTTGGGGATTCAGGTGTCGGGAGATCAGGGCTGCTCATCAGTGACACTGAATAAATAGTCCTCTATATACCGAAAGGTAGAAATTTGGATTCTATTGAACGAGTACTTCTCATACATGTCTCTAGTTTTTGTGTGCACTTTTTTTGGAGGACTTGTACACTACATGTAGTATATCTGTGTAGATGGCTAGCTCCAGAGACTGAGAATGCAGCCAGCCTGCAGTGGTAAAACAAACACTCGTGACGCACCGACAAACCAGCGCCTTAGCTTGAGGTTTCTGACTTCATGCTACGCGATACTAAAAAGTCTTTGATGCAATTCCCACTATAATCAGCCCCGAACAATGCCGAAGCGGAGTATGAGCACCAGGGAGTCAGGTTTGGGTACAACTCCCTGATGAGCACACACTGTGCTCTCTCAGAAATTGCATCTTCTACTCCCCAGTATGCCAAGACAGTCCATGCAGCTTAGCACAGTGCATTGCACGTATCTCGATCAGGTACAGTATGCCCAAGACTCTGAACAGTTCATTTACCAGGCATGTGTAGTGAATACACAGGCTGGCGTTACCAAGATCACGCAATGAAACTTGAAGCACATTTTACCCTGCATAAAGGGTCGTCACAAAAGTGCCTGGTACAGGGACGTATCTAAGACATCTGGATACGAGGCATATCGGTGTAGTACAATAATCATTAGTACATTATTGTATTGTACTACTCCTCGGTTTCGAGCGCCGCCCTGAGTTTGAAGTGTACCAATCTCAAGGAGATAGTGCACAAGCACAAGTGTACACACACACACACACACACACACACACACACACACACACACACACACACCAAACTCCCAGGATTGCCCAAGTTCTGGTACACTAGTAGTACACATGTGAACGAGTCCCATGCATGTCAATACTAGCCTGTAGACTGAGGAAACCGGTTCTCTGGGGTCCAGATATTTTAAAACCGAGAGCCAGAGTATATTTTAACAAGGAGGGAGGTGCAACTCTTCTTGGTTCGTCTCACTGCGGATTTTTTGTCGAAGCCAACTTTTTTTGGAGATCATGAGTCCTACCATGAGCTATGAGTGTACTCAAGAGTACATAAACCAGAGTGTGCAACTGTGCATATCAGATCTGAAACAGCGCAGTTCGTGCACTACGTCACCCTGATGAGGTCAGCCAAGCCGCGACTTGCGTACAGCTCAAATTTTTATGTTTCATAGCCCGGAAATCAGCCAAGTTTGCTTGATTTTAGACGTCCAGTTTCAGGATTTCGGTGTTTTGTGTGACTGTGTACGCTGCGTACATCCACTGACAAGTAAAGTCACCAGGCTATCCGTATCAAAAAACCGAAATCAGGACAAACTCAGTGACCTGCACCACCGCGACTGGTTACGCAACTTTTCACCGTACCTGTCGCTTACCATGCCGTCAGAAATGACGTACTGCACGAATTACGCTCCCACAGGAACCATCCCGAGTTGCACACTCTGGTTTATGTACTCTTGGTGTACTGTACTGCGGATGAAGTTATTTTCTTCTGAAATATCAGGAATGGGATTCGCACAGTAACACAAAACTGTGACACCGGTAGAAATAACCTGCTATGGTCAGTCTGACTATACAGTTTAGCAAGAACAAGGTAAAGTAGAGCCTGCACGTCAAGCCCACACGTCCGCATTACAGCCGTGAACCGGCTATGCAATCATGGTGGAAACACACACACAACTGCATTGTAGCTCAGGAAGTTTGGCTAGTGCCAGGCTGCCACCATGTCTGAGACACCACTATTTCAGTACCGAGCTAAAACATTATGATCTTCCGTGGTGTGTCTGCTCTCTTTCCCAGAGCAGGTGAGGTCAGCAAGGTATGGTTTACCCTTTCCTCCAGTCCAGTGCTGTGTCCAAGGGCTTACCGTAACAAGACCTGGCACAGTTGCTGGCAAATGTTTTAGCGCTATCCAGGCCATGACCGGCTGTGTGGACGGTGCAAGCTCTTTGTTCCTGTCAGAGCTCAAGATGACATCATTGAGCAAGTACGGAGGTAGGACTGATGCTGCCGCTGATGAAAACAACAACCCGCCGTCCACTTCGCAGCAGTAGTCCTGTGTGCTTGAGCAATGCCAACCCAGGTCAGCGCGGGCTAGATTTAAACTCCTCCGGCAGCTCTGCCTCTCTAATTGCAGCATAGTTCTTGGCATACTTTCCATACCATTCATCGTTGGGAAGGCGGCGGTGTTGAATCCCACACCAAGCAAGGAATGCATTCATCTCATGGACGCTGTAACCAGAGGCCAAGAGATAGCAGTTGGCATAAACGGCCACGGCTGGTATTACATGCCATAAGCGGGAGCCTTTGAACTTCAGGTGGAACTTGATTCCGGGAGTGTGTTTGTCTTTGTGTGACGCCATGATGCTGGCAAGCAAGCTTACTTTAGTCTTGAAAGGCTATGTTTCACAAGTGTAAGTGATATTCTTGCTAGGCTCAGGGTAAGCAGGAATGGTCACTCGGTCTTCAGTGCGAGTTTGGAGCAGCACCAGCACTTGCCTTCTGAACCCGTCCAAACAGCACTATCGGTAATCTGTGATGTGCCGTGACGAGTTCCAGAATACAATTCAATGATCGAGTATTAGGAAGTTGCTAGTCATCTCAAGGTAGATGAATATAATGGAAACCAGGTTTTCATGAAAAACAAAGAGGACTAATGCTCTCTCGCGGCTCAGTCAAGAACGAAATCAGCCCAATCAAGACGGATCCCGTTCACTACCCACTGCTGCTACACCTCGCAATTCTGTGCTCGTACTCAAAATTGGAATCGAGACATAGGCTATTAATTTTTCGCAGAAATATGCAATAGCAGCAGGTGAAAAATTAAAATTTGCATGCAACCGGCCCATGCCATGGCGCCATGGCGATAGCTAGCTATCTCGTGCGCGTGCACGTAGACGTACGTAGATCTACGTTCACGTGCATGGTCTTTTGCCAGAAAAAGGTTTTGCTGTAAAAATACATTCAAGAGAATTTTACTTTTGCTGTTTGAACAATCTTCCTTTCCTGATTGTTGTTTGCTTGCTGAGTATACAATGGAGTGTGAAATGGCTAACATGTCATGTCCGGGCCTTGTAAGGGCTGTTCGCTGCAACGACAACTACTTTCTTTGGCGGCAAGAAGGTAATGATTTGCCAATTGTAAGCTACGATAAATTAATTGTTTTGAATCCTCAGTCCTGCACTCAAGTGTGACAGTATACTGGTAATAATATGCTTGTGTCAACGTACCCTGGAATATTTAGTCCACGATGCACAGAAAATCCCCAGAGGCAAATAAATACAGTTCGAGGGAGCTTCCTAGTGCCGACTACTAGTATTCAATGACTTGATGATGATTATGCAGGGTGTTCATGGCCGTGTGTGTGTCCCGGAGTTTTTTTTGTAGCAGCCAAAGTTTGTTTCCATGGCGGGAAATCGAGATTTTTCTAGGTACTGTACCGGTACGCGGTATCTACAGCCTGTAGAAATCCAACACCACCGAATTCCGTATTTTCCACAAGTGATTCCCCTGGAAAAAACTTTAAAAAGTGAGTGCGGCTTCTACTACTAGTTCTACGATGGTCAAATTAACGGTGATAAACGGGGTAGATGTCTGAATTTCATGACAAAAAATCTGGGTGCAGTGTATACTGTAAACACACTCAAGATTGCAGCCGTCTACCAGATGCTAATGCTGCAGAAGCCGGACTGTGACAATAATAAATATGGTAAAATACTTGAGCTCCGCATGGACCAGTGGTCGAAGGGAGATTTCGCAGAGCTGCAACGGGAAGCGGACACCATACAGACCTCTCTTCTATCGTCCAAGAACAAACATAAACGTGATTCAGTGGGTCCGTCGGTTGACCCTGCTAGGCGTTTTGCAGATTATGTCACCGCGGGCAAAGTGGGCAAGGCGCTCCGTGGCTTGACAAGCGGTGATGATGGAGGCGTGCATCAGTTGGACGACGAGATTGACGGACGCACTGTCCGGGATATCCTGAAAGACAAACATCCACCCGCAGAGCCGATGAGCGAGGACGCCGTTATTGGTGGTGATCCACCTGCTCCACCTCATCCGATCTATTTCAGCAGCCTTGGACGTCAGTCGATTAAGAGTGCAGCACTCGGTACGCAGGGTGCTGCGGGGCCGAGTGGTGTTGACGCCGAGAACTGGAGGCATTTTTGCGCTAGTTTCTCTGACGCCTCCCAGGGCCTTTGCGATGCACTAGCATCGTGTGCAAGGCGTTTAGCCTCCACGTACGTGCACCCAGCATCTTTGTCGGCTTTCACTGCGTGCAGATTGATAGCGTTGGACAAGCAACCCGGTGTCCGGCCGATTGGAATAGGTGAGGTCGCTCGACGCATTATAAGCAAGGCCATCCTCTCCGTCGTAGGCCAAGCCGTTCAGGAGGCGGTTGGGTGTATACAGCTATGCGCTGGCCAGGATTGCGGTATAGAGGCGGGAATACATGCGATGCAGCAGGCCTTTGAGCTGGATGACACCGAAGGAATTCTGATGGCGGATGCAAGTAATGCGTTCAACAGACTAAATCGACAGACTTGCTTAAGAAATGTTCGGCACTTGTGTCCATCACTTGCTACCGTTCTTATTAATACCTACCGTGATCCAGCTCATCTCTACGTGGACGGTGAAAGTATCCTGTCGCAAGAAGGGACAACACAGGGTGATCCCCTTGCAATGTACATGTACGCGTTGGGAATAATGCCCTTGATACGTTTGGCGGATGAGGCGGGTGCGGTGCAGTCATGGTTCGCGGACGATTCATCCGCTGCTGCTCGTCTTCGCAGACTCCGTCTATGGTGGGACATAATGGACAAGAGAGGACCGGCATATGGATATTACGTAAACCCAAAGAAATCGGTCCTTGTCGTCAAGGAAAGGTGTTACCAGGAGGCGACTGAATTGTTTCGAGACACTGGTGTAATGATAACGGACGAGGGATCACGATATCTTGGCGCAGCAATCGGAAGGGACAGCTTTCTTCAAAGCTATATCAAAACAAAGGTGGACGAATGGATGGGGGAACTGAAGAAGCTAGCAGTATTTGCACAAACCCAGCCGCAGGCTGCGTATTCTGCGTATGTGACGGGCCTCAGGGGTAGATGGGCGTTCCTCTGTCGTACCATGAAGGTACCCGAACCCATGTTCCAACCGCTGGAGGACATTGTGAAGTCTGAACTGATTCCCGCCTTAACTTGCCGTGCACCCCCAGGCGACACCCTCCGACGGCTTATGGCTTTGCCGTGTCGTCTGGGTGGGCTCGGTTTGATTAACCCTGTGTCCCTATGCCAACAATACGACTCGTCGGTTCGGATGACCAACCCTTTGTCTCGGAGAATCTTGTCAGGGGATGGCTCCATCGGTGACTCGGTAGTGTTAATCAGATCGGCCAAGAGAGACGCCAAGGCATCTTCTCGACGTCATCAGAAACTGGAATTCGACGCGATATCGGGCAGTGCGTCGGAGTCGCTACGACATGTCATAGACGTCGCGAAGGAGAAAGGGTCGTCGAGCTGGCTGACGTGCCGTCCACTTAAGAAATATCATTTTAATTTAACAAAGGGAGAGTTTTGGGACGGACTCTGCCTCCGTTACGGATGGACACCGGCCAGGGTACCGTCACACTGCTCTTGCGGCCAAGAGGCAACTGTCGCGCATTCCCTGTCGTGCCCCTATGGAGGGTTTCCCTCCATTAGACACAATGGTATTCGGGACGTCACGGCCCGGCTGCTGGACGAGGTGTGCACCAGTGTGTCCATCGAGCCCTTGCTGCAACCGCTGACGGGGGAGCGTCTTCGCTACCGGACCGCAAATGTGGAAGACCGTGCCCGGTTGGATGTCGCTGCCAATGGTTTGTGGGGCAGTCGTTTTGAGCGTACACTTATTGATATACGGGTTTTTAATCCTCACTCACGCTCAAATCGATCTGCACCACATACTATTGTGTATCAGCGACATGAAAAAGAAAAGAGAAGGCACTATGAGGAGCGGGTGAGGCAGGTTGAGCAAGCCTCCTTTGTTCCGGCGGTCATGTCAGCCAGTGGCGGAATGGGTCCGGCATCAACAGCACTGTACAAACGAATTGCTCATCTGTTGGCGGAGAAGAGGGGTGAGCATTACTCTCATGTCATGGCATTTGTTAGATGCAGGATTTCCTTCAGCCTTCTGAAATCCTGTATCATGTGCATTCGCGGTTGTAGGCGTTTAAATTTTGGTTTGAAATTTGCACCCTCCTGCGGAGCCCACGCTGCTTTGGCAGTGGCGGAGGCTCGCTTGCCGACGTAACCGTCGGAGATCATCATGAACAATGGACTGACTAATTATTCACTTGTCCTGTCTTTATAAATAACATGTTATTGCATATGTTCTTGGTTTAAAAAAAAAAAAAAAAAAAAAAAAAAAAAAAGTGTATACTGTAAAAGCCATTATTCTAACGAGGCGCATATATAACGATTTCCCGAAATTGACTAGTTTACGTGTACCAAAGGTGACGATTCTCACTCATTCTCAACGCTCAATAGGACAGTATATGTATCGATTTCTGTATAGCGATTTCTATTTTAACGACAGATTTCTCCTCGTTAACTAACGAGTTAGGACTTCGTTATATATATGGCTTTTACAGTACTCCGGAAAATGCGGTAATGCGGTATTGTCCAGCTTTGGACCTCTGCCACCGACTTGTCCTTTGAAAGAGAATGCCAACACCTGTTGGTTGCTCTTCAGTAGTTTCTCTATCTTCTACATTCTACGTATATTTATATTCAACTCGAATGGTGAGCCAATGTAATCATAGATAAAAAGGAGAAGGACAAGTTTAGTCAGAACTCGTACCATTTCCCCTAAGTGCGAAGACTCCACTGTAGCCATCCACCATCCCATACATCTTCACGACACTCTACAAACGGTCTCTGGGCTACACCAATCACTAAAAGAAAAAAGAGATAATCATTCGAATTTTCGGGAATGTAGTCACTGCAGACAAAACAGAGTGACAAATACAAGCATGTTGGCCAAAAGGTGTAGGGTGTGGGAACGATAGCATGAGAGTGTGTGGCTAGGTGTTGTGGTGAAAATTCCACTTGAGTCGAAATATTAACACGGAATAGATGAAGAGATATGAAAATTCCACCTGAATCAAAATATTAACACGGAATAGATGAAGAGATGTGAAAATTCAGGTGGAATTTTCACCACAACATTTGTACCATTTTGTCCTCCTTTTTATCCATATTCATGATAGTCGAATGTAATAGTGCCGTGGAGTCGGGTAGAGTGCCCAAGCACTATCGACACGGCGGGTACGTATAGAACAAGGGTAGAACTAATGATAATTATAATGTGAAATTGTTTGCTCTGCACAACCTTGGGGCAGAATTTTGGCATGAAATTCTCTGCTCGCCAACTGTTGAGTACTTGCTGAGTATACCATGCAATACACGGTTTAAACTCATGTTACAGCGCTATCACGGTTGCAACATTCTTTCAAATTGTGACATAGCCAGTCCGACGCTTGGCATCATCATGCCCTCTCGTAATCCAGTGGCTTGCCTCTCCTGGATGACAGTCGTTCTGTAACGTGCATGTGTGTCACGTCCAGCCACTGCTCCAACCTTTGCAAGCATACGCACAAGTTGCGAGGAATGGCTGTCCGTCTCCATCACATCCGCCAGCAGCATATGTAGTGGGTGTGTACACGATGGAGTAGCGGAATGCAGCATGACGGAACTTGCATACACACATCTGAGCTGCTTGGTGTGCTCAGCAGAGGTTGATGGTTCAGTGCATATTCTAAGTCATCGCCATACAACATGCTCCGCACTGCATCCCATAATGCTGGATTTATACTGCGCACCACATCTCGTATATCCACATCAGTCAGCCTACCTGGTGCGTACTCCCTCTTCTCACACTCTTTCGATTGCTCCATCAGCAGCGTGTGGATTGCAGATGTGGTGAAATGGAGTGTGTTCCCTGGTGTACCCAGGGTATGCGTCGCGTTAGCGCTGTTCTGCCTTGACTTGAGGAGGTTCGAATGTAGGGCAGTACGAAGGTCGCCACCTTGGCGGTACAAGAGGGTGCTGTCCTTCTTTGCCAAGACACCTCTGCTGGTGGCCGAGATGCTGTTTCAGGATAGTTAACAACTATTTCCCTGACCTCTGCAATGCCTCTGGCTGATCGCTTTCCAGTGCTGTTGCCAGAAGCATTGCGTCATTGGCCGGGATCATGTTGCCAACCAGCAAAACGGCGGCCCGCAGATGTTCATCGTCCTCAATCTCAGCGCGGAGTCCGCATTGCCCAAGGGCATGGTCAGTGCTCACTGGGCCGTCAATGATGAGCAAGGCCAGTTGTGCCTTGTAGCTGCACACCTTGCATACCCTATCATCGTGTGTCAGTGCTGTGTCTAGCATGGCATTAATAGCGTCTGCATTCGGGCACTTGCGCTCACGGGGTGTTCTCACGTGGCACATGGCACAGTTGATGTGAGCTGCCTGATAGCTTTCTCTGTAATGCTGACGGCACATGTCGCGTGTGTGCACAATCTCGGTGCATTCTGGAGCCGTGCATATACTGCATGATGGCACCTCTTCCCGTCGCAGTTTCTTGGCACGGCTCCAGCATATGCATAGGCATCTTGCTGAAGGTGTCTTGTTGCACTTGTGTGCGTGAGTTTGTTCCATGTATCGATGTTGCACGGGTGTGTGAATCTGCCCTGAGGCGGAACATAGTCATGCACCGTGTAGGTTGGGTCGCATTGCTGGTCCGGGTGCAAAGTGGCACTCCTGGGAGGTCTACCCATCAGTTTGCATTTTTCCCGTAGCTATGCGAAAGACGTTACTTCAGTAACGTCTGGCGCTAGCCAGGGTCCACACAGCTTTAATTTATACCAAGGGCTTCAGCGAGGAGATCAAGAAAACGATCGCCGGCCTAAATTTCCTTCAAACTGGGGGCCGAGGGAGGTTGAATCTCGGATATCACTGTCTCAAAACAAATCAACATGGATGTGTTGCCTTCTGGTGATGGGGAGAATTCCATCCACTTTTCAGCCTCGCTGAGTACATTTTCAAAATTCTCTGGCCTGGGGTCAGATTTGGGAACTAAAAGCGCAACCTTTAGGGCTCTTTTTCGGTACTGTTGCTTCGGTTGGTAGGACCTACACTTCCTTATTACTATTACTTGCTGCACCTATACTGGGAAATGCAAACCTTTTTCTTCTTCTGTTGGAATCTTCAAGGCGTACGCGCACAGTGACGAGAAATAATCAATTTCAAACTCCTTCCTGTTACCTTACTCCGAAATGCAAATACCTGTAATTGGATCAGTCCTGCTTCAATGTCATCATAGGCGTCGGAAGCTGTTTCTGATTGGTCCGGCTCCGCCGGAAAGGAAATTTGAAAAAAATCAAGCCAAAATGTACATTTTGAGGGCGTATGCCACCCTTGCATGATAAAATATGTTTTAAGAACCCCGGTAAATTTCAATAGGTGGGTGACCGAGGAGAAAAATACTCGGCCACAATATTGATTCGTCTCCGATGCCCATGATAATGTGTACATGCTCAGGGGTGTCGGAACCGGGGGGTGTCGGAAACGGTGCGGCAGGTGCGGCCAAAGACGCACCAATAATTTCATCTGGAGAATTTTGAAGCAATAAAAAATGGGCTATTTGGGCCCAATTTTCCGATTTTTTCCCAGGGGAGGGCCCCGGACCCCCATCTTTTCATAGCCACGCCAATGTTGAATACCTTCCGACGTCCCTGATGCTTCACGAGGTATTACCACAGTTCGCAGCACATATCATTTCAAGCCTGCGTGAAGGGAGCAGACTAGTCGCTTTGCACAGCCAGTTCGCGCATGTACAGTGCTGGCAACTGAAATCCGAGCCCCTTGGCGGCGCGCCGTGGCGCCGCCAAGGGGGTCGGATTTCAGTTGCCAGCACTGTAGCTTTGGAGTGCATCTGAGCTGGCATGAATACCCATTGAATAGTGCACGGCTTGTGGCTGTAGGACAGAAACGAGTTGGATACTGGCAGTGTAACTGGGGTAAAGCAGGTCTGCTGTAAACAAGTTTACTTTCATGAAACTGCAGGAGCCCTCACCACTCTGGCATTGTTTCTCATGTTGTTTTTCTGTCTGGGCAGATGTTGAAGCCCTACGTCTTGAGAGTCTTTCATGAAACTGCAGGCGCTCTCACCACTCTGCCGTTGTTTCTCGTACTGTTTGTCTGTCTGGTCAGATGTTGAAGCCCTACGTCTGGAGAACATGCCTCTCACACTGTGCGGCAGCTTGCCTCGGTCCAGTCGCCAGAACAATCTGTTTGGATTGCCTGCTGTCCTAAGTGCATGTCAAGTTGCAACACTGCGGGACAAAGGTACTTTAATGTGCATCACAATGTACAGAGGTGGCTTGTGGTTGACGAGATTTTGATTTTTAGTCCAAATTTCACCCTTACTGGTACCGTTGTGTTGGCTCCATGTACGGTTCATGCTGCAAACATAAGGACAGTCTGCTCCTGTATGTTGTTTTTTTGCCTGTGGACATTTGTGGAGGATCCGTCGTCCTGATCAGTTTGTTGTCGTGTGTGTGTGTGTGTGTGTGGCGTTGTTCCAGGAAGGGCGGAAGTGACATCAACTCTGGCCCACCGCGATGTCACGTCTGATGAGCACGATCGGTTTTGGATCCAGCGGGAGCAGAACGCACGGGTGCAGGTGAGTTGCGATCTGTGACGCGTGCGTGATGCATGCAATCTCAATAATCTCAATCCTACGAATCATGATCAGGACACCATCATAGCTTAGTTAGGGTTTAGTCGATTTTTTGGATCGGTGGGTACTGGTATCGGGAGATACAGTGTGTGTCCATCAAGATGCTTCATTTTGTCTTCTTTTTCTAATAATTGGTAGCACCAATAAGCACCACTGCTCGGCCTTCGTCACAGGGAAGAATGTTGACGCTTACCAGTTTCTACTTATCACTACTTATAAACCCCGCTGAAATAATTGAAATCGTACCCTAATGCTGCCTGGTATCCCAATAAGGTAGTTAGTACATACAGTAGTTGCTCGCCGGGGTTGTCCTCCGTGGAAACCGTGAGAGCTGATCAGCCATTAGACCGCGTGTACACTGCCGTAGACATGTCATCTGCACACATTTTCTGGACAAAAATGGGTGCTTTCAAGAGACTTTTGCAGTCGGTTTTTTTGGTGATTTGCAGATCAAAACACAGTGCAACACGCATTTAGTCATGCTGGTTTATACGCACTTTGTCATTGTGCACTCTGGTCTTTATTGGAGTCCAGGAGAGTACTATGCTTGTACAGTGTTGCTCAATGAAATCCGATCAAGCGAGTAAATGCCACGCCAGGCGCTGTGCTGCCCAAGACCTGCGGACACTGGGATGTGAGCTGAGGCAGGGTGTAGATGTGATGCGATTGGGTTTCTTTGAGCAGCACTGTAGTAGTAGTAGTAGTAGTAGTAGTAGTAGTAGTAGTAGTAGTAGTAGTAGTGTGTGTGTGTGTGTGTGTGTGTGTATGTGTGTGTGCGTGTGTGTGTGTGTGTGTGCGCTTGCGCGTGCGGGTGTGTGTGTGTGTGTGTGTGTGTGTGTGTGTGTGTGTGTGTGTGTGCGGGATTCACTGGCCAGAAAAATCACTTCAAATAGCTGTATGGTGTAGACCAGGCTGAATAGTGACGGTCAATTCTTCAGCCTTGCAAGCTGTTGAATGGTGCAATCCCAGCACAAGTTGCTATGGCTTCTGCCGTAGCATTGCTACCATCGCCTCTGGCGATGGGCGTCAAAGGTCAAGGTGTGTGTGCTTGTTATGTCTGTACGTGTGCAGGCCAATGAGATGTTGGCTGTGCGACAGCAGCAGATTGCCGAGGGTGTGCGTCGGCACCTGGAGAGATCCGAGATGAACGATGACGAGAGTACTGCTGGGGCAGCTCGTTGCAGTGCGAGCAGCAATAGTGGCCATGATCAGGCTGAGGAGAGTTCAACGATGGCTGCGAGCGGAGCGCAATGCTCTGCGAGTGCCGAGCTCGACAACGATGACATGAGCTGTGATCGGAAAGACAAGGTAGTTGCCAGCACAAGCTCCAGAGTGCAGAGCAGCAGCAGTAGCAGCACGAGCACTTCACCAGCAGTGCAACAGTCTGTTATCGTCCGCACTATGATCGGTCAGTACCCTCCGCTTTGTTCTCTATCTTCCTGGCATTTTGCCCAAGAGCACCTTGACTGAGAGCTGCACACCTCGGCATGTAACCAAGCTGTAAATTGATAGGTTTGCAACTCGTAAAACGAGACGCTGACTGATTATCACATCCCGAGTCGGACTCTCTGCACTCTGCGGTGAACTAGCACCAGATGCTACACACCCCTAGCACCACAGACACTCTGCGGTGCACTCGACCATGGCGCTTCAGTACAATCAAGTCACGTTAGAGCATTAGTCTGTAGATACGTGACTAGCAGTGCTAGCTGTGGAGAGTGCAACAACGTTACTGTTCTGGCGAAGGTGAATAGGTGGGGAATACGAGTGTTGCAACGTGGCAACTGTAGTGCAGGAAAGGCAGGGACTTTTGTTTTTTCAAGTCGGCAAGCTGAATTGTCGTTGTTACCTGTATTGAAATGCAAACACAATATATTGTGCTGAATTGGAGAAACAAAGAGGAGATTAAGTAGCTGGGCTCATCTGATGGGAAAGATCTCAATGATACCTACATGATCACATCCTTACTCTGGCAATTACAAATTATGTGTCGGTCTTGTGTAGGTGATTCGTTTCCACCGATACCACTCGAAAAGTTTGACTACCCTCGAACTGAATCCGAGGTAAGCCGCTGTTGTTCTGCTGTTGGATGCATGACTGATATCGTACTGTGCATGTTTGCATCTACTGGAGTGTGTCTGTAGTGTTTGCTCAACTCCCAGAATGTTTTCATGTAGTGCATAATGGTGGAGGGAGGGGAGAATGTCTGCAGCAATGCATCCATTTTTCCATGCTGGAGCATGCACGGGACAGGAAAGTGATTCCAACACTGTTCTTCTCGCTATGTCCATTGCACTCGACAAGTTCAGAATTTATGTACAGTGACGTCTCTCCCCCCCCCCCCCCCCCATCGATTTCTGTATAACGATTTCTATTTTAACGACAGATTTCTCCTCGTTAACTCGTTAGAGTTAGCACTTCGTTATATACATGGCTTTTATAGTAACTTCATGTATAAGGATCTGTGGCCTTCTCTCTTCCTGTCTTCATCATTGTCCCTTGCAGTGTCAACGCTGGATGGTGTTCAAACATCTGACAGACCAGGGCTATCACCTGTGTAGTGGGTTGAATTTCGGTGCTGACTTCATTATGTACAAAGGTGAGATAACATTACACCAGCTGTGCTGTATGGCTATGGTAGCATGTAACGTTACTGTATGACTGGTAGCATGTGCTGTATGGCTGTGGTCACAGTGTGGTGGCATGTGCTGCATGGCTGTGGTCACAGTGTGGTGGCATGTGCTGCATGGCTGTGGTCACAGTGTGGTGGCATGTGCTGCATGAACACATGTACAATGGTGTGTGGGCTCGTTGTCAAAGTATCCTATCCAGGTTAGAATCAACTTCTAAGGCTCAAAATCCGGGGTGTGCACCAGATGTGAAGTGAACCCTAATCTTTGCTGGTGAAAAGGCGGTGGGCATTGCACTGCATTTTTACTCCTCTGTGCATTTTCTATTTGCCCAATACATAATCATTTCTAGGGTCTTCACATGCCAGAACTAACTGGGAACAGAGAAAATAGCACATCTTCCTGTAAAAGTGTCTTCGCCTCCAAAGTGGTCTTTTTTTAGAGCTCGTGGTTGAGTGGATACAACTTTGAATAGTACTACAATCGCCTCTACTTATAACGAACTCGCATATCGAATTTCGTGATATAGCGAACCATTGTCCATGTCCCTGTTTGAACCCATACAATATTGACCCTTTATAGCAAACAGTTTTCGTTTATAACGAACCAAATCTTGTAGGGCTGCATATACATGTACATGGTACACCAAGTACATGACTGTATACCGTAAAGTCTTGTATAAAAGCCGCACTGGAATAGAAGCCGCAAGTTTGGGCCCATCAAATCACACATAAGCCTGGTGTTAGTGTTGACATACATAGAAATACCTGTCTTGTGTAGAAGCCTGTCTCATAATTATAGAAGCCTGCAAAATTTCACCAAGAAAGTCATAGAAGCCGCGGCTTTTATACACGACTTTACGGTACTCATACTGTTATGGGCCACATGTCAGTCATGACTTTCTGCTTGTATGGTGTGAGTGCATTTCTGTTATAAAGAACTAATTCTCCTGCACAATGGTGTTCGCTATATCAGGAGTCGACTGTACAAGTAGTTTCTGATTTTGATTATTTCTGGCTATCTGTTCTACCTTCCTACACGATAGGTGATCCACTGCTGGTGCATTCTTGTGCCATTGTGCTAGTCGTGCCCCACTCACAGAAGATGTCTTTGACCAGATTGGTGGCGGCTGGGCGGCTGGCGTCCAAGGCTAGAAAGACAGTTCTGCTGGCATCGTATACTGGACGTTGGCAGCAGCCACGGCCGGCAGAACATTTGCGTTCTTCAGAGGATGAGAGTGGAGTTCGGTGTGTCACTTTTCAATGGAGCGGCATACACTGAAGTAGAATTGATCATGTACATACACTGTACGTGTAAATCTACACTTACTTGTAATTCCATAATTCTACCTCAGTTTGTAACTGCCAATATGGCATTACCATTCCAGTCATAACAGCATACAATTACTTCGAAGTAGAAACTTTTTTATATTTATTTTCCGGCAGATCAGCTGCTTTTTTTGCTCACCAAAACCCACGAAATATTTCAACTTTTTTTTAAATCAATGTAGCATGTAGTATTGTTGACTGATACTGTATTTATGTTTAGTATTAATAATTTTATTTTCAGGATTACTCCACAAATCATCGCAAATACGTTTTACCCACCCAGTACCAGTATTGCCAAAATCCATGGTTGTGGTGTTAGGGATCATACTTGAAGGACATAACTAGCTTTCTCACAAACCAAACTACTTTTTTTGGGAGGGAATGGCCGATTTTGCTTCCGATAATATAACCCATGCCCATAAATTGTCCACATACGTGTGTGTGTGTGTGTGTGTGTGTGTGTGTGTGTGTGTGTGTGTGTGTGTGTGTGTGTGTGTGTGTGTGTGGTCAAGAGATTCCATAACATGTTACTGCGATATTACGAACGGGGTCCCTTATGGACTCTTGATCTTCATAGTCCACTTCATGCCTACGTGAAGAATGATGCTATGCAACATCTGGGTCAGGGGATGAAAGACACTGACATGTGGCTTATATTGAGAATACTCCCAACATAACTCCCAGGCAGGAGCAGAGTACAACTGCCCAACAAGCACCGTAATAGGTTGACCAAAACTTTTTTTATTTTTCATTTCCATACCTGTCTGAACTTTTTGGAATGAGGAGATTGGATGCAAATACATCTAGGGGGTGGGGGTATCTCTTTGCCTATCAAATCCTATGTAAAGGAATTATTTTGCCCAAATTTGAAACTTTTCCATCAAATTTACAAAGTGAAGTACGCAGAACACTACACACTGTTGAATCCTGGTTTAGATGCTTTTCAAAGATGATGTCAACAAGCAAGCAAGAAAGTTTGACCGCAAATAACTAGGTTATTTTTCCTGAGGTACTTGTGTGGCACATCCCCAACTTGTTATCCACCGAAGAGCTTGTTTATAGGTTTGTCTGACACCATGGCTATGGCCGTACCATACTGAGTTGGCAATGAGTAAACCTTATGCACGTCCACGTCCCACCGAGCCTTCTCCAAAGCATGACACGATTCCTCGCACCCTCCGCACTCGCAATCTCAGCCTCTGCGTCATCCCTATCAACAAACTGATCCAACAGAAGCAATAAGGATGCACATCAGTGACGATATCCAAGGACTTGCGATCATCTTGAGCATACTTCGGAAAAGCGCCCGTGAAGGCTAATTTCTACATAATTATAGGATCAACAGTACACACACATCAATGCACACAATATTACTACCTATAACGTTAGGTACAGATTGATGGATGGACCGTGTCAAGGCCACCTCGCAAAGTAACTGTGGAGCAAAGGAGAGGTGCAAAAACAGCACTAGTTTTATACTGGATTTTGCATTGAGCGACTCTAAGTGAAGAAGTGGTGAAAACCATTTTGGAAAAACGCCTACGTGCAACAAACACAACACTTGGGAAGTGGAAGATAGTGCTTCTCTGGAATTCTAAAAACGAAATGAAAACTAAGTGACTAGACCGGTGACTCACTGAGAGAGCGTTATGCTGAACTTGTTACTCACTGAGAGAGAGCGTTGTAGCCGCTACAGATTTTGTGCGTACATGTATTTACTGCCATGTTGGTTTAGGATGTATATTAGAAATTATCAGAAAGTAAGATTGTTATGGAACACAGTTGAAGGTGATGGCTCTGACTTGCAATGTCTAGACAACATCAACAATGCATATGAAGGGAACAGCTCTCAAGTGCTGCTACTTGTACACCTAATCAAGTACATACAACGCGGTGCTCAGCAGTGACATGTGCGTATATACTAATGTGTCCTGCGATAAAGTGTGGCCGAAACAAACAAATAGTGCATCGCTATCGCACCATCAGAGAGTGAGTGAGTGAGTGTGAGAGAGAGAGAAAGAGAGAGAGAGAGAGAGAGAGAGTACCCGGTTGGTTAGAAATCCTTGAGACTTAAACAAATTCCAGGGAGAAAGCTTCGATTTCTTCGAAGTGGTCTTTCACATCATCCTTGAGCTTTTCCACTGCTGCGTTGATAGACTAAAGCAAAGAACACACACAACCAACACAATCACGTGTTGCTCCCAACACACACACACACACACACACACACACACACACACACACACACACACACACACACAATCCCTCAAGTATCGCTAAAGTTGCTACACCCTCTTTAGACTCTTCAACACAATCCTAAAGAGAATAAACACTTCAATAGTGAGACAAGATAAAAGTACAGTACGCACCTCTTTTCTCGGTCGACGCCGTTTAGTAGGCCGTTCAGTGGAGGAGGATGGCATACAGTTAGCAGCATCGCCGGAGCCGTTTGAATCCACTGAAATGGCATCATCCGATAGAGAGCGCGATGACAGGGACGGAGATAGGGTAGCACTAATGGCACTGCTTACACGCCCTGACGACAGGATCTGTTCTGCGGCCAGTGGAGACGGTCGTGTGGATGACGGCAATGACGACGACGGCGGCTTTAGGTCGACCATGGAGTCATCCATCTGCTCTTGCAGTGGCTTGAGCGGTGACATGCCAGGTGAGGGCATGACAACGGGACGTTTCCGCTTCGTCGCCTTGACAGCAGGAGTCGATGTGGCGGGTCCAACTGCAGCATGTCACATGATCAATGGACTGAGAGCCATTAGTGCATGTTTAAGTTAATGTGATAACAGACCATGCAAACACGCAGCCGAGTTGACTACCCTGATGACTACCCTGATGACTACCCTGATGACTACCCTGATGACTACCCTGATGACTACCCTGATGACTACCCTGATGGAGTCATCAGGAGTTGGAAGTATATGGAGTGCAGTACTGGTAGACACTATGACACTATTCCTGAAACTATGCAAAAGACGTTCTGCAGTAGCGTCTGGCATAGCCACGACACTCTATTTCATGCGTGTGTGTGTATGTGTATATGTGTGTGTGTGTGTGTGTGTGTGTGTGTGTGTATGTGTGTGTGCGTGTGACGACTCTGCACTGGTTACCATCTCCCATGAGGGTGCGCAACAGGCTCTGGCTGCGTTTGTGCATGTTGCTGGTGCATTTGGCCTGAAGGCGAATCTGGCAAAAACCAAGGTCATGTCGGTCGGCTACGGACTCACAGCAAATTGCCGCTTGCCTTTGATGGTAGCGGGTGATATTGTTGAGAGCGGGACTGACTTCAGGTACCTCAGCTCCATCGTACATACGGATGGATCGGCTCATGATATCAAATCACGCATTGCTGGAGCATCGAGGGCTTTGAGGTGCTGCGTCATACATTTTTCGTGGATCGCAACCTGTCAATTTCCACCAAGCGACAGGTGTATGAGGCGTGTGTGGTGTCCCTGTTGCTGTACTGCTCTGAGTGCTCTGAGTGCTGGGTGCCGCTGAGCCGGGATTTAGCCGCCCTCTCTACATTTCATATGAGATGTGTCTGATCGGTTTTGGGCAAAACTCAACTTGACGTGAGGACATCCTGTTTGACGAACACCGAGGTTCTGGCAGTCTGGAACTCCGCCAGACAGGAAGATCTACCAACCCGTCTCATGCGTCACCGGATGGAGCGGCTTGGCCATCTCTGCAGAACGGAGGAAGAGTGCAATCCGCGTCAGCTGCTGTTTGGCTCCCTCTTGCCGACCCGTCCTGCCTGTGGCCCTCGGAAGAGGTGGCGTGATGCCGTGGGAGCGGATGTTCGCTGCCTCGACCTGGGCGATGAGGCCTGGTTCGATCTGGCGCAGGAGCGCAGTGAATGGCGAGGGGCATACTCTAGCGTTGCGTCATCTGGACCTCGCCAACAACAGCGAACACCATGCGCGGTCTGTGGAAGGTCATTCTCCAAGAGTGGTATGGCCCGACATAAGTACAAGGAGGAACGCAGCAAGCCGATAGCACATCAGGTTGGGAGCAGGAAATGCCCCACGTGTCAGCAGTGGTTTAGGAGCACCGGAGGCCTCGCTGGCCACAAATGTCTACCGGATGATCGCTCTATGTGCCCAGCAGTGGGCCCTTCATCATCTACTCGCAACTCGGTTGCAGCAGTACAGGTGCCGACGAGGACTCAGCTCTCGCTACCCTGCTGTCAGGCTCATTGCAGCGCATGTGGCAGGTGCTGCTGATCAAAGAGGGGTTTTCAACTCCACAGCTGTACCAAATATAACATTTAAACTCTCCCTAGGTGTGTGTGTGTGTGTGTGTGTGTGTGTGTGTGTGTGTGTGTGTGTGTGTGTGTGCATATGGACTGTTTACGGCTGATGTTGCTCCAAAGCAGTTTCCTACTATGAACCAACTAACAGAGTTGCCGATATTGTTGTTGAGTCTAGCAAATTTCATCTCGTGGAAAGCATGTGCTAGTCAGGATTGATGATTTCTACACACTCACTCACCTGGTCCTAATTGGACAGCAGACAGGTGAAGTTTGCTGTTCTCAATGTCTTTGCCTTTACGCACAGCAGACTTAGTTGTTCTTCCCATTGTTCAGTGATAGGCCTACATGCCTGCTGCGGCAACATTTGGTTACCTCCAGAGCCTTAGCATCAACACCTCAGCTGCACGAATGCTCTGAGTTCTGAGTTCACGGAGTTCAACACTACAACCAGACTTTCTGAGTCGGCACCACCTCGCAGGACATTCAGCGTCCCGTCCGCAACTGAGTTTAATCGATCTCCAATTCGACGGAGGGTTATTTCAGCAACGTTAGTTTCTCTCTTTATCTTTCGTCTTCGCAAGCTACTTTTCTCTGTGTCAGAAAGCAAGCTTGGCACACAGACAAGAGTCAGACGAGTTTTCAAAATCAGCGCCAAGCGTGCTAGCAACTGACGTCATGCATGATCGGCGAAAAATATTTTTTATTTTGCCTCGGCCAGGCCAGGGATATCCCGGGTATACTGTAGGGCCAGGGCAACATCCCGGGCTGGAAGTGGAAGCTGCTTGCTTTCAAGTACTCAGTAATTATTATTATTTTCAGTATGCCCTGTGGCGTTGATATTCACGGTGTGTCGGTGGTTTGTTGGCGATTCCTGTAGCTGAACTATTTGCGTGACTCAGTATTTCAGCTGCTAGTACTTCTCAGCTCTAAATGGTCAGCGAGGTATCAGTAAGAACTAATACTTTTTAAGAATTTTCTTTATACTAAAAAAATGCTAGTTCTCAGCTCAGTGCAATTGCAAGTACACATAATGTACTGATATCTACATTGTACTGTCGTTACATCATGTCAGAAAGTGGGTTGACGTATTTTCCGGAGTATAAGCCGCACCCCCCCCCCCCCCATTTTTTGCCACGAAACACAGACGTCATCTACCCTATTTATCAGTGTTAATTTGATGATCGGAGTTAGCCGCACCACCCCCTCCCCCCTTTTTGGGGGTGAATTTTCAGTGTTCAAAGTGTGGCTTATACTCCGGAAAATACGGTATTGACCCTTGTGTGTACCTCATGCCAGGGTACGCTGCAAACATGCTAATGTACAGTGAAAGTTCAGTGCAACGGTTACGTACCTCCAAGGACCATTTTTAGAATACCGGTACGACGTCAGGCACATGTTTGAAGCGGAGGGTCCGATATCGAAAAATAGTACTTTTTATCCTGAAACTTAGTACTTTTTTCCGCCAAAGCTATGCTACGATAGTCACATACATGTACACGACATGTAGTGCTGGGATGACAATTACACCATAGCCTAATGATGAACATCGTTGGCCCAAAGTGAGGCTCCCTGGTTCGAGTCCTGGTGGTGGCGGTCATTTTTTTCCTCAGACTTTTCCCGTTTCAACTCTCTCGAACTTTAATATGAAGAAGGAAAAAAGACTTCATGTGCCCACAAGCAGATGTCGTGTGTGCATACTGTACATACATGTACCATGTGGCTGCTGGTGCATTTCTGTCGGTGTGTGCGGCACAAATTTATTCCAGTGGGCCATGGCATGGGGGAACATCCTCTGAACATACCGTATGACCTCCTCAGGTCTTTGCTCTTTTGCTTAGCACTCAAAGTGCCAGATGCCAGTACATAGTTAATTAGGTTCTGAAACCGTTTGGTGAATGAAAGTGGGGAAGTAAGATTTTTACTGCATGTGCGACTCGTAGTTTATCCGATAATATTTGACAACTTTGGGGTCTCCACGGTGCTACGCTGATAGGATAGAGTAGAGAATGTTTTAGAAAATATGGGAAATAGGAGAGGTCCAGCCTGTTTCTAAAACAGTCTGTTGATCACCCTGGCCATTGGCCTGATGTTGAGCCAGGCTCGGAAATGTCGTGAAATGTGAAGTTTTTCGCAGTGAAGAGACCGTTTTGGAGTTTAAAAAAAGTGAAGAGTTATATATGTGTATAAAGTGGCTTCGTTAGCGTTTACAGGCACTGATGATTAGAAAAGGCTATGAATGTCCTATCAAGGTAGTGAGTTTGATCAAGTAATACATGTACATGCTGGCAGGGTCTCTCTCAGTCATTGTTAGATCAAGTTATTGTGTTCCGGCGGATATCCAAAAGTAATCGGTTACGAAATCGTCAGCCATCAGTAGTCACCAAGATGGTAGTTCGAATTTCACTTCAAATCAAGTTTACTCTGGATACGAAGGTGAAACGTTTATCACATTCATTGTGCCTGAGCTCATATCGCCCATCGGCCCATGCCATCTCGAACAACTGTTAGCAACAAGGACTTGCATTTAGCATGCTTCCTGGGGTTGGTTGGTATACACGCATTCCAGTGGTGCTTTGCACTGGAGCTGGCCGACAACTGCTGCTGCTACTGGTGGTGGTGCTGCTACTGCCGCTGCTTGTACTGAACACACTGAGTATTGATGGATCACACGTCTTCCAGGACCCATGCTATAGCAATCATGACTTAGTAGTGGGCCGTATTTCTTTGGCGTACAGGTCACACAGAGCATGTACACCCTGCTAATGCCAGTGTGTGAGTGTGTCTCCAGTGTCCACTGATACCATGCCAGTCATAAATCCTCCTCCGCGTTGCTGGTTGCTGGAGAGTGATGGAGCGGATAGTCATTCTCTGTTGCTTGTCAAGTCTGTGATATTGGCCTGTGAGAACAAATTAGTAGCAAGATGTGCAAAGGACATTTGTTAGTGGCATGTTTAGCATACAGTTAGACAGCGGCAACTTTGTATTGCTACAACATAAATACAACCTCAATTCCATCATTTTGAGAGCTCTCCATACCCGTAGAATGCCGTTTTTTGTGACAAGGCAATGTCAGAAATCCGGGCCCTCCTCCTCCCCCCTCCACAACTATATTATTTCCTGGCCAGATTCCTGATGCATCCTTGAACTCATCTACAAGTACGACAGTATAAAAAACTATTATATAAACTATAAAGGGTACTGTACTTGTACATGACTCACGTGTACATAGGGTTGACAAACAATGAACCGCTGGCTTGGTTCTCACTGCAGACAGACAGATCAGACAAACCAGTTAACACAGTGTCACAGTAGTGCGCAATGAAATACGGCTCTGAGTGACTCAGTTGCCGGCAGTAGTGCTGGGTCCCGGGCTGCGTACCCCTAGCCCTGTGAACGCTGGACTATGCACTGGGGTTGAGACGCTGTGCACACCGGCTGGCTCCTCTAACACAGGGCTACCCGGCTCTGCACTGGTTCAGGATGCTGACTTATTACTGGGGCTAGATGAATTGAGCACGACTGTAGTATCAACACTAATACTGAGTGGAACGTGATGCTGTTTCCCAATACACGGGGCTCAAACACAACCATTGCTCTGACTCCACACTTTCTTCCAATTCTTGGCAGGAAAGGTGGATTTGGGGATAGTATTTTAAAAGGTACAATGTGCTACACTTGTTGACAGGCGAGATCAGTCAATGCTTGTACATGTACCCCGCCCCCCCCCCCCACACACACACACACATACAGACAGATACATACGTGTGCGCAAATCTGAGCCTGCCACATAATTTGTTTGTAGAGTTTCATGAGTTGTTCTTACCTTGTGTCCGAGACTTCGTTAATTGTTGGTGTTCGAAACACCGGTGCTTCCAGGAAGTCCTTTTCGGCACTGAGAAATTAACAGGACACACGGAGAGGCGGAGATTGGTTTGACTTGTCCAGCATGTCGTGAATCGTACACCAAGCAAAACACGGTGGTGTAGAAACCATTGAGCATTGGATGAGCAAGGTGAAAGTGTATGGGTCTTCGTGTGGATAGTTCCAATCAGTTATTGCAGCATACCCAGTACCAAACATCAACACAGTGTGTACGTACTTGTCAACTACTTTGGAGAGGCTGCTCTGGTTGCTGGCTGCTGCACTCGTGCCAGTAGGTGTTGACTGAGCTCGTCCTCTGTGACAACAGAACACAACAATAATGCCGTCGACGACGACAATAAGAACAACAAGAACAGCAGCAGCAGTTAAGGAGGCTGCAGCATAACAAACTGCTGTGTAATTTAGTAGCAGCTGTGTTGAGCAGCTGGTGCACTGGTATCCTCAAGGACCAATTGCTGACAGTTCGCTGTGTGTTGGGTCAGGTTAGGATGGTAAAGACCATGGCTACCCTGCTAGCACTGTAATGTAAAGCCTAACTAACAGCAGGAACATGATCACAGGGACATAGTGATGTTGGAGGAGCATAACGTCACACAAACGGGCAAATTTACACGGTGGCGCAAGAACCGGGCGCAGGCTACATGCACACTCTGTCCCGAGCTTCTAACCTTGGCTGTGTGCCGAGTGGTGTGTCCATTGGCGTCACCTCTGGAGTCTCGGCACCTTCTCCTCTACATGAACAACATGCAATGAGCATACAAGTACATACAAACACACATGAACACACATCGGCAGTACCTTGGAAAAATGCCAGACACAAACACACAAACACCCCCTCCCCCCTCCCCCCCCCCCCCCCCCACACACACACACACAGAGTATGCGCACAGGCAGCTGCTTGGCTGCAAAAGCACACATCACTAGTACGTGTATACTGGTAATCAGTACTAATCACCTGTCCCCAAAGATGTCCAGCACGGATGGCACGTCATGCGTGTGTACGATTGGTGTAGACTTTCTGTTCATGTTCTTTGCTCTGTACAAACAAAGAAATACACGCACACACAACCTAGTGAATTAACTGTTAGTTGATTAGAAACACTCTACTCTGACTTCAGCCCATGTCCATACACCAATGCAATCATCGGGATGCTGTCGGTTTCAAGCAAAGAAAACAGTCGGTTTTACATTGTGAGCATGGGCAAACAACATGCTGTAATGTAGGAACCTGTGTGTACGAAGGTCACACAGTCATGGTCCTGCCAGCTCATTGCTCTTGTGTAAGGTTCGCTACCGCTCGGATGTGACTCGAGTACGGATTGACTGCACAATGTGCAATGTGTGTACAGTGCATTTGTCTTATACTAGTACAGTCAGACCTCGTTTATCCGGTCCTCGTTTATCCGGATCCCTCGCCATCCGGAAGAAAATCGTTGGTTACCGATTTACAGCATATGCCATGCACACACAGAGTATGTGTGTTCGATTATCCGGTTCCCTCGCCTATCCGGATTTTTTTCTGGAAAACGGATGTATGCGGTTATGCGAGGTCTGACTGTAGCCTGCAGACAGGATTCGTTCATCTGGCCCACCTCAATACTAGGCCCAAGACCACACACGGGTCCAGGCGGTGGGGTGTTCTCGCGGTACAGAGTCACCGTATTAACCCATAGGCTTACGCTTTCCGCTCCTTAGCTTCAAGTCTTCGCAGTGTTTGTAGTGTATCGATGGACATGCTGTAGGCACAGACAAATACCCAAGGGCAGTGTAATGTTTGCAATAGCACAGGATACAATCATGTATACCGCCCAAGTACCCACGGCGGCCAGTACAGCTACTTTTCTTGATGGCAGGTGTGCTGACGTCAAGCAAAGGCAGTGGAGTGGCGTAGGTCGAACTGTTCGAAAACCAACAGCAGTGCAGGGATGTAGGTAGACTGGATCATAGCATGCCTCGGAATCAGGTAATTCCCCTCTAACCCTTTGTCACAGACCAGTGTGTTTACTGGAGTGCAGCGCTGATACCGTGCATATAGACTCAAGATGACCAGCAACCACTTCAAATGCACCCTGGGCTATTCCCCGGTAACAATGCACTTGGGCACCAAGTTCCTGCTTCCAAAGATATAACAGAGATTCTCATCTGTGAACATGTGGCGCTGGCTCATCCTTTGTGGACTGATCAGCACTGTGATAGATATTGACGTCGTGGACTGCACAACAGCGGATCCGACCAGCACTCAAAGAGCACATGCAATGCTGTTGCGTGTGACTTACTTCAACTGCTCCAAGTCTTCATCCACATTGCTCCTGTCCGACACCATGGTGGCTGCACGTAGCTTACTCGCTGAGCTGTGGAATGGAAATGAGTGCAACGGTGACAGAATCACGGAATGAATGGATGCTTTGCGCCTCAGCGGGAAGACATGTTTCCTCGGTCCTGGTTCATTCTCACCAGATCATTCAGTTTACTGTGAATACATTGATGCATTACCTGTCTATTGTACATGTGACAAAGGGTAAGCAGCAGCGTTTGGCTTGTCTATTGAAATTCAAACTAGGCCTGTTTGGTGAACGAGGTCAGCTCAGGAGAGTGCATGCAGGAGTCAAGTTTGAAATCTTTTGTACATATTCCCTGACTATGTAAATTGTAAGAGAACCCCCTTCTCGTGCAAGACTCTCCACCAGTTGCAGCCAACCAACTTGTAACTCCCAGGACTTGTTCCTACTTTGAAGTAGTACCAAAAAGTAGTACCTTGAAAGAAATCCAACTACAATGCACAAGCATCATTGTGCAACACACATGAGTTCCCTCTGTTCTGCAAATGCACATCACCAAGAGTCTGTAATCCCCCAGAGTGCGCAACTTCACTGATCAGATCTGGGACGGCGAAATCCGTGTTGCACTTCATAGTTCATGAGTAGGAGAAGTGTGTTTGGGTGGTGGATCGCGTCGACGGAATGACGCAAGTCGTACATCACGGATTACGCCGTCCCACAACCCCATCCCAGTTGCGCACTCTGGGGGATTATGGACTCTTGACATCACTGGTGTACACGTGGTAGGTCACACCGACTAAGTCTTATCTGTCCATACTTACTGATCATAGAAGCCGTGTATCACGTCCCAAACCTCGTCCTGCTCTGGCTCGTCCTGCGCTTCCGATGCTTCCCACAGCTCCACGTCCAGACCAAACGACATCCTATTGGAAATGCATGGTTTGTCAGCGACAAGGAGAGGAGGTGGCCGCAGATTAGTAAACGTGTGTGTAATTAGTGATCAGTTCTGACTTATGACGCTAGGGGGCACTGTCACAGTAGTCAAGTGTGGCACTGGATTTCATTTGCAGACACAGGAAATTCCAACAGTCACGGGGATGAATAGCTTCTTTCAGCCTGCTCCACGTTAGCCCAAACTACCTACCATATGCGTTCTCCGGTCAAGCTTGTTTACGACACCAGCAACACGACTCCAACAACCTGGGAGTCGTGTAATTGCTGCCAATTTGCTGGTGTGGTGCACAAGATCCACCTGAGAATGCATGTAGTGATGGAGTTTGGACTAAACAGGAAATTCCACTACTATACTAACTATTCCCGGATACTGTGCAGTTCTGTGCTAGTATCAACTACTGAAGTAGACCGATATAACCCCTTACCCGGTATCCTCAGCCGTGTAGTCCTCATACGCACTATCTGCGATTTCTCCGCTTGCCGAATCCTGCAATGTCTGCGATGGCGTGGTACTCTCGCTCATTGTTGCTGTTGCTGGTACTGGTGTTGAGGTGGATAACTCCACTGCACTGCGCCCATTCTCAGCGTAGGCGCTGTCAGCTGGTTTGCTCTGCTGCCCTAGCTCCACCGTCACTCCTCCCGCTGCTGTTACGACGTCAGTACCACCTGTACTCTTGGTAGTATCAGCACCACCACACTGTGCTTCGTTAGTGTCATCCAAACCAGTGACATCATCATGAGTCACGCTGACTAGTGTCGTGTCATCGTTTCGATCCTGTGCGCCGACACGCGCTTCATCCTCTTCAGGCACATCGCCGACGCTGCCATGCATCATGCTGATAGGAGTTATAAACTTCAAGGCATGGTCACGAGTCGTGTCAACATGCGCCTCGTCTTGATCAAAGATATCATCACCGGTATCGATCATTTCTCTGTTCAGCGCCCGCTGAAGGCTGTCTAGATGGCCGACAGCAATGGCGTCATTTTCTGGATAGTCCACGCTGACTACACTTTCCTTCCTGCCCTGCTGCCCAGCACTGTCTTGATCAGCAGCAGCAGTGGCAGCAGCAGCAGCTGCAGCAGTTGGCGGTATCGGAGTGCTTGTCACTGGTAATGGCTGGCCTCCGTGCATATCACTAACACCAGTGCCTGCCGTAGTGTGCGTCGCATCACCATCGGTAGCCAGTTCACTGATTGCGCCGGTGCTTATTTGCTCCTTCAGCTCGTTGGCTACCTTCTCTGCTGTTCCCCCTCGCGATAAACTGGACGGATTCCGGGTGCTCGTGTTGCTTGCTCGGGCCAGAGAACTGCCACCGGAGGAAGGCTTTTGAAGGGTTGAGTCTCGACTGCATTCCCGTGATGTTTCCGCTAGGGGTGTCATTCTTGCAGGCCTGCAGGTGAATCATATCGGTACACATGATACATGATTGTATTATAGGACATACGACTGAAGTGTATGAGTGTAACATGTATGACATGTTTATTTATGCTGTTTATTCACTGTGTTTTATAATGGTTGTTTAGAGAGATTGGTACATATCCGGATTACACGCTTTTTGGTATTATGCCCTCGCGGGTTCTAATCCCGTCATATTCTCTTTTTTCTCTTTTTCTTTGGTTGTCTTTTTGCGCCTGCGCGCGAGAGAGAGGGTTCTTCGAGAGAGAAGAGAATGTTTTTCAGTTTGGGTTGTTCTTGTCCAGGAACTAAAATAATCTAAATGTTATATTGTGAGCCAGTAGTTTGGTGAGTGGTACTTCTTGATTATGTTGTAACCTGCTAACATACCAGCAGTTTACATGAGTGTGAATACAGTGAATGATGCACTCGCTCACACATCACACAGTTAGTCTGCACAAATACAGTAAAAAATGGCGACAACTGCAGCCAACTACCTTAAATGGCCAAGCCCGTCATGCTGACTTCTTCACTGCCCCGTCTTACCAAATCAATTCCATGTCTTGGCTGTTCCTGTCCGCATCGGCAGTTGCTATTGCGCTTGCAACGTGTGCGGAGAACGCTGATGTAGACTCCACGTCATTTACGCCATGCTTGTTCCTGACAGGACAACGGCAGAAAACACATGGTGTAAAGCCGACTGCTTGAAAGGAACTCCGCAGTTCTGATCTCCACAGGATAATGGCCACAAACAACATGACATTGTAGTCCTTCATGCAACGCGCTGACGTTCACAGTAGCTGGAGTATAAAGCTGATGAGGAATGAGCTAAAAAAATGCTGTTCCAGTTATTGATCTTGTAGTCGTCTGGTTCTCTCTCTCTCTCTCTCTCTCTCTCTCTCTCTCTCTCTCTCTCTCTCTCTCTCTCTCTCTCTCTCTCTCTCTCTCCTGCACATACATAATGAGTGACATTGTCATAGAGCGGCTTGTTGTACTTACTTTTCAACAGGCATGGTGGCACTTTTCGCGCCTGTTCCAGGTGATTGGCGAAAGGTCAGGACAATGTTTGGTGCTGGCTGCGGCTGCAGACGTGCTCTGCATTTTGGTATAGCGGCAATGAGAGATAGATAGGCATGTAGAGATAGATAGATTGATAGATAGAGAGAGGGGGGGGGGGGGAGGAGGAGGAGAAAGAGAAACACAGAGATACAGAGAGAATGTGTGCGTGTGTGTGTGTGTGTGTGTGTGTGTGTGTGTGTGTGTGTGTGTGTGTGTGTGTGTGTGTGTGTGTGTGTGTGTGTGTGTGTGTGTGTGTGTGTGAAAGAGAGAGAGTGAAGAAAATAGGGCAACTCATACATGCAAATTATACAGAAAACTCGTGGCTCACCAACTAATTGTGGAGCACCAACAAGAATTAGAAGATGGCCTTTCAATATGCAGTGAAGTGGGTGGCATTTGATTGTTCACCCATAGGTGCCATACTACAGTACTAAACACACACACACACACACACACACACACGCGCGCGCCCGCACGCACGAACACACACACACACACACACACACACACACACACACAGATTTCAGTACAGGGTTTCTACTCCGAAGTGCACTGCAACGATTACATAGAGTGCTGCAAGTATCACGTTTAGCACGTTGCTAGACTTTTACATGATGATGTCATGCCATGAAACAGTTTTCAGAAGCCATTACATCACCACTTTCTGCGGTTCACCTACTTCTGTATCAGGACTTCGGACCCTTGAAGGGCCAGAGTTGATAGGCTGCCGTCCACGGACGTCATGGTTGTCTCTGCTGAGCGTGACAGTTGATCTCGCCACGGCGTGTTGGGATCAGCGTTGGTGGAGATGGATGACAAAGTGGACATATTCCTGTTCAAATACAAGCAATAGTGACAATGGTCAGATGTAGTAACCAGACATGCTGGAACATATCAGAAAGCCTGACGATGCACTCATGCACAGTACCACAGCGCACAATCTTTTACTGCAGAATATCATAGCAATTTATTATTTATTCTCGTTGGTCAGCTGAGAGCCTGTTCGGGGATGAAAGTGTTCACAAGTGGAAAGAAGACGCTGCAGTGGAGTTGGAGAGTGTTGAGGACATTTTGTTAAAAACTTCACGGTTCGTGTGAGACTCGGCTAAAAGCCGAGTTTTCCGCATCCGCAGGAACGCCACCCGCACCCCCTTGGATCAAGGCGCAGATGCAGTTCCTAAGCAGTGGGAGGTGAGCAGATCAGACCCACCACAAAGTGGTCAAAGACCAAAACTGATCCTATTCACTGCATCCATGTTTCCCTCGTGCCAGGCCACGAGTTCCCAATTAACTGTGGGTCGCAGCACGCCCTGAAAAAAATCCTTCCGCTTCCAAGCAGGACTTGAACCTGCTACCCTCTGTTTCTCCCCACTATGCCTGCCTGCCTGTGTTGAGGAAATATCAGTATAATATACTGACATTATATCAGAAATTTCGAACTTAAAACATAAACTGGATATCCCCTTTCACCTCTGACTCTCTACAAAGGCATTGTTTATAAACATGCAGTTTCAGATTCGCAAGACGCAGGTACATGTCCTTACCTACTCCGGGTGTCTAGCAAGCCCATTGAGGAGCCTCTGGAGGCAGCGTGCCGACTGTATATGCATATGCACACATGTACGCACACACGCGCACCCACACACACCCACACCCACACACCCACACACACCCACACACCCACACACACACACACACACACACACACACACACACACACACACACACACACACACACACACAGATATGTACGCATGCAAATACACAAATATTCACACACGCACACACACCCCCACACCCACACCCACCCACACACCCACACACACACACACACACACACACACACACACACACACACACACACACACACACACACACACACACACACACACACACACACACACACACACACACACACACACACACATATGTACGCATGCAAATACACAAATATTCACACACGCACACAAGAAGAAGAAAAAAACAACTACTCCCATATCACCACCCACTGCTCCAAACCTGTGCAGCGGGACAGCTGTAGACAAGAGCCAGCTGCAGCATGCAGCATTCAGCATTTTGCAGCCAAGAACATCACAGTTGGTTTCAGGGCTCTGCGACTCTACACCTCTTTACAATCAGCAGCATGCTGTAGACTGTACTCATTATGCGTATGTCGAATCGTGATCCTGGCTACTCTGACTTAGCACTGGAGTATACTGTTGGATGCAATGCCCTGTATCCTCTCTTTATACTCCGGCATCATTTGTGCTATGGAAATTTTGCTAGATTAGTTAGGGTGCTGGATTAACAAATCTGATATACTGCTGCAATGTGCATGAAGAGGACACTTTGTTACTGAAAATTATGCTGGTTTATAGATCGTGCTGGTTTATAAAGTGCTGGTTTAGAGAGGGACGACCGTATCTAAGTACACACAATCTACATCATACCATCAGTACGCGCACCCCCTCCCCGTTCAACTTTTAAACTCACCGGATTCTCCTGTCTTTAGCTTTCATCCAGACCACCAGCACACACAACGCTACACCAAAGATGAAAGCCAGACCGAGGATACCGCCAACCAGACTCCAAAGCAGTACATTGCCGCTGGAGGAGCCTCCTGAATCTGCTGCAGCACAGAGAAAGCAACAGAGTAAACCAGTCAGGTACTATAGATATGGTGATGGACTAAAGATCACACGAATAGAAAGAGGACGGAGTCCGTAGTCTGAAAGAAAACTTGACTGTCTTTTTACCTTCCCTTCGAAACCGTAGTGAATACATGACTGTTGGGTCACATGGTGCTTGTGTTCAGGGTTACACAGCTACTAGTAGGTGAATGTTCACTGTGCCTCCTACTACTATGCTACTGTGCAGCGGAGCCTAAACAAGTATGCCATTACATGACGTACTCCATCATAGCTGATAAATACAAGCACGGCGCCTATTTCCGGCCTGAAACATTGTACGTGTAGATTGGCAACTTACCTGGCTCATCTGCACTCTGCGCTAGCACTGCAAACAGAGACACATAGACAGACAGACAGAGAGATAGAGATATAGAGGGAGAGACAAGAAGGGAACACCATTCTCCATACTAGAAAACAGTTATTTTATTTTTTACTTTTGTTTATTTTTGTTTTCCTCCCTGCCCACTCTGCCTGTCTTCTGGCACATGCGAATACGTGGACTTACTGTTGACGTAAACGCGGACGTGCGTATAATAATAATAATAATAATAATATAATATGTAAAAAGGCGACGTGGAGACAATAATCTTAATAATGCAATGAATATAACTAAATGCGCACTCATATCACAACCATGGGGACGAATCATGTATTCCAGAACGTTTTCTTGTCACAATTATCAATGGAATTCGTGACTCAAGAGAATGATGAAACTACAATAGGATTTATACACTTGCAGTGGAACAGCGAGGATACAAGCATAGTAAGAAAAATAGCACAAACCTAGGAACAATTTGCACAGGTAATAAACTATAGGTGAGGTGAGAAATGATAGGAAATTCAGCAAGTGCAGTGTGACAATGGACATGCATGTGTAAGTGTGTGTGAGTGCGAATTTACTGGAATAGCGTAAGTGCGGTGACATTTTCTTTTTGTTTACAAAGATTTGGATCACGAATGCGAATGTAGACTGCTTCTAGAACTTTTAACTGCTTGAAACTACTTGCAGAACGAACAACACTGAACCAAGAATCATCATAACTTTCACGACTTTCACGACTTTCACGACTTTCACGACGTGTGCAGTGACGATGATGAACCCGGTGGTCAGTTGCTGGGAGAGCCGACGACAGGTGAAGGTGGCAGCGATGATGAAGAGGACGGTGACGATGATGACGATGATGGTGCAGATGGTGTGAAGGACGGTGGCGGTCAGAAACCAAGTGAAGGCGGAGGCGGTGAGAAGAAGAAGAATACATCGGCAATTAAATTGCATTTGTTGTCTAACCCCGTGTGTCGTGAAAGTTATGATGATTCTTGGTTCAGTGTTGTTCGTTCTGCAAGTAGTTTCAAGCAGTTAAAAGTTCTAGAAGCAGTCTACATTCGCATTCGTGATCCAAATCTTTGTAAACAAAAAGAAAATGTCACCGCACTTACGCTATTCCAGTAAATTCGCACTCACACACACTTACACATGCATGTCCATTGTCACACTGCACTTGCTGAATTTCCTATCATTTCTCACCTCACCTATAGTTTATTACCTGTGCAAATTGTTCCTAGGTTTGTGCTATTTTTCTTACTATGCTTGTATCCTCGCTGTTCCACTGCAAGTGTATAAATCCTATTGTAGTTTCATCATTCTCTTGAGTCACGAATTCCATTGATAATTGTGACAAGAAAACGTTCTGGAATACATGATTCGTCCCCATGGTTGTGATATGAGTGCGCATTTAGTTATATTCATTGCATTAATAATATAATAATAATAATAATAATAATAATAATAATAATAATAATATAGAAAACAGTTTGAGTACTGGATATACAGCAATAGCTACATGGTATACTGGAATGCCTATGGTTGACCGTGGCAGTCATTGTGACAACATCCCAATGACATAACGATGACGCTGTGCGGTACATACAATTACAGATGCGCTCAGTGACTCCCTGCATATTGTGCGTATGGGTTTCTAGTTTGCAGATCAATCACTAGCAGTAAAGAATAATTATTGTCATTAGCGGGGGGGGGGGGGCATTAGAGCTATTATGGCGTGCCCGGGCCTCTCCAGGGCAACTCCAGGACCCGTAGCTGCATAGATTGAGTTGGCTACAGGCTATAGGACTAGTATTAGATAAACCTTAGTTTGTTGAAACATGTTGTAACAAGGTGGAGGACACCGTGTTCGGAAACAGTGACCTTACTACAACCATCCATGGTTGGTAGAGCCCCAGTCGTAAAAAAAAGACCGGGGCTCTACCAACCGTGGATGATTGTAGAAAGATCACTGTTTCCGAACACGGTGGTCTCCGCCTTGTTACATGCTGTCAACCAACAACAAGTTATAGAACTGTATGGTGTACGGCAGCTCTGGTCCCAAGTTAAGTGAAGCCCAATGCTAAAGTCATACCCAGGCGTGCCAACCCCTTTAGTGGTCTTCGAGTAACGCTTCAAGTATAGGTGCTGACACACTAGTATCCCGCACACGGAGTCTAAACACCCACCCACTTAATACCTCTGCTCTAACAGTAGGTTATTTTTTAGCAGATTGCACAGCCTGTACATTACTCATTAGCACAGGGACTATTTTTCCAGGGGCAAGGCTTATGAAGTTATGTGAGTTATGAACAGACAGTGAAACACGACGTACTACGGGTACAGCAGCAGCCTAGACAAGAGTACAGGTATAGCTATTAGTTACAAATCCATACCAGTAGTAGTTGTGCATTGACCAGCCACGAACACCGTAATCCATACAGACAGAGTAGAAGTGACTCCTCCGCACAGTGACACAGATCTTCCGGAGCACCTGCACGCACTACGCTGACTTCTGCTGGTCTTCATCTTCGGTAGTTTGGGCAACCCACGCCGGCACCCAGTCCAAGGGATAGCCCTTTTTTAGATCACCGGTTGCGCCCTCGCCTGCCTGACCCTGGGTTGGGCCAATTGGGATAGGCGATATGCTCGCTTGTTGGATCGCTAGCTAGGAGTGTCGGAACACTAGCTGCTCGTTGACCATGCGTTCTCACACTCAGGCATGGTTTACTGCAAGCACTATGCGGCGGGATGGTCTTTCGTGAACTAATTACTTATTATTAACTGGATTGCTATCATGACCAATCCTCGAATGCTAGAATTGTTGTGGAGCCTGAAAAATTCAAACCTGACACCATTGACCAAAGTGTATGCGAAGAACACACGAACAATCCCACCGCACTTCTCCGGACTGCAAATATCTTCACAAGACCATGCTTGCAAACGTTCCTGCGAACGAGCACTAATCTATGGTCGCCTGTCCCTGCAGCTGAACAGATCCAGTACTAAGCAAGCTGACCCTGAGAGAGAGACACAGTTTTGAACACTGCTTTTTTCTTGTAATTCGCTCCCTTCAATGGCGAAGTGCCAGTGGCCTGCGAATGAGGCGGACTGCACACGCGCCACCGGTGCGGCGGGCACTACAAATCGCCTGAAGCATGAAGGCTGAACGCAACGACGTTTACGTACCGGTGTTTCATTTCAGCTACAGATAGTAGATCTACATCTGCGAGACAGTGGTACTTGACAGGTGCTGGGCTTCGCCCCGAGCTGGTAGCACCCATTGCTTTGGAAACGCCCAGGCCGGGGTCCGGGCTGAGCTAAAACTAGTCTCCTCCTAGACCTAGATCTACATGTAGATCCTTACCATGTAGATCCACTACAGGCACTATACTAGAGCCGTGTCACCCGGGCCGGCCTGTTTGCAGCTCAAACTCCTCAAAGTCAAAGGCTCAAGCTTACGAACGGTCAACCACACGGCACAGCTGTGTAGCGTCAACAGCAAGAGTACATAACCATGATAACCCCATATAAAAACTCTTGGTAGGAGTAGACTACTAGCAAGAGTACATGTAGAGGAGACGGCTCGATACCGGAACGTTTTGACAGCCAAATTTGTATAGACCCAAAACGATCATCAACGTTGATTTTTCACTCGAAATATGTTTGTGGAAGGAAACTGGCATGTTGAAGTTTGCTCTGGGGCCAGAGTCAATCGAACTGAGCCACTCCTTTGTGTTGACCCATTGCCTCCAAGTTGCCCAATTTTTCGCTTCAAAAAAGTTCAAATCAGAGGTGGCTCCAAACCGGACACGTTTTAGAGTGCCCGTCAAATTCACTCTGGGTCTGAAATTAGGTAATTGCTATCGCTCCACGACGGCCAGTACAGAGTAACAATAAGCCTTGTGTGTGCTTCCATTAGTTTTGATTGGTATGCGGTGCTTTATTGTCGAGAGGCGAGCCGCTGTTTACCTGCGACAAGAAGTTGATTTTTCGAAAGTCGTAAAACTCAAGTCGCAGTGCGAAGCAACACGTCAAAAACTCACCTGCTTGATATGGCGCTTCTGGTCATCGCAGAGCCATGAAATTTTGGCTCGGAGTATAACACATCGTAGTCTCACTGTGACATATGTTTTCTAATCAAAATACCAAGAGAGAAAGTGAATATTGAGTCCGTTCCGGTTTGCAACCTATTTCCTATTTGAAACCGTCGCCTCTACTCTTGCTACTAGTAGTAGCAAGAGTCCATGGACTCTTGGACCGTAGTAGTACATTGCACTTCGAAGTAGTAAACGCGGAAGTAGCAAGAGTAAATGCCTGTCTTGCCTGAAATACATTATTACATGTAATTGGTAACATCAAGGGGTTCTGTACTCTTGACAACATGTAGACTGGATCTACTAGACATGATGTAGTAGTAGTAGTAGTAGTAGTACATGTTTGGATACATAATTAGAACGTCCGGGTAATTTTAAAATGTTCTTCCCGGCAAACCGAGGTTCGAATTGTCAGGATTTCACCCGTACTGTATTAGCAACCAGGACTTCGCTCGATGCATCGCGCAACCATCATGTAGATCTACTATATCGGGTTCAACACTCCTGCCCTGTCTATAGACCACAGAGTTATTGACTATTGTAGCTGGGAAGCCGTTTTGGAGTTCTTGTCTAGTATCATGGTAAACAAAGGCAAAAGGGAGGTTTACTGAAGCCTCGAGCATGGCCCGGTGAAGGCTAGGATATGCGCCGGGATAATGCCGGCAGAAAAATTGGCAGAATTCGGTACTTTTCAAGTGTAGTATGCGCGGTCTAAGGCTAGGAGGCAACTACCCACAGTCAGTCAATGAACGTATCAGAACTTACTCCGGCACGGCCTGGAGGTTATCTTATATCAAATATTCCTAAGTGAACAGGACTCTATCTTGCTCTCTCTCTGATATATCGGATCTCTCCGATCTCTAATCTAATCTAATCTCTAATCTCTTATCTCAAGGTGGCAGAAAAGACAGCAGCTTTTATAGGCAAGCAAAGTGTATGTGTATGGCAAAGCAGGCGATGGTAGGAAAGTAAGGTTGGTAAGCAATTGCAGTGATTGCGAAATCATCCTTCTAGTACAAGTTCTAGAATAGTGGAGAAGGCAAACCTAGATCATCATTGCTATACAGGTAGATGAAGTGAGCATTGCGTAACATTAACATAATGACTAAGCGAGGTATTCTAGAAGGTGAGATATCTATAGTCAGCAACATTACTCATCGGGCATATGATGTGGAAGGTCTGGAATAGTCCGGAACAACATGACATACATGACCGTACATGACTACATGTAGTAACTAAAAGGAAGTGATGACAGCAGCATGCATGGAAGATCTATCATGCATTGAGTGTGAAGTACACGTAGGGCTTGTAGTTTCATGCATGTTTGGTATGTGGATAAAGAAATGGAGCAGAATTCGAGGAATTGCCCGCCATAAGGTTTGTATGGTTCTGCCAATTTCACTGCTTTTCGAGCATTATCCGCCAATGCCTAGCACTGAAGGCGGACGTCTTCCGGCGTTCCGCGATATGCAACTGAGCCGTAGATGTTCAGACATTTAGAAAAGCCGAACCAGCTTTTCTATTATTGTGTTTAACTTTTGTACAGAACAGCAAGCTTGCAAGGGCAATCAAGGGCTCTGCCTCCGCCTTGTTGAGCACAGTCGGCACACTGGAATTCCTATATACGGATAAACCTTGTTTTGCGGCCTTCATCTTATTCATAGCTTTATTAAAACATTGTTTTGTTTATCTTTATAGCATGTCACAAGGCGGAGGACCACTGTGGTCCTCCGCCTTGTGACATGCTGTCAACCAACAACGTGTTTTCATTGACTTTTCAACAAAACAAGGTTATCTTTGACCATACTATCTTTCGCCACGACAGCGGCGAAGCTCAGACCACCCCGGTTAAGACTCGACTTTCTATCACGAACGGCTAAAACGCCTGTAAGTGTTTTCGCTCAACTAAGATGAAAACGACATACAGAGGTACGTGTTCTTACTGTTGCTCGACTCTTACTGCTACTCTTACTGCTACTCTTACTGCTAGTCTTACTGCTAGTCTTACTGCTAGTCTTACTGCTAGTCTTACTGCTAGTCTTACTGCTACTCTTACTGCTACTCTTACTGCTACTCTTACTGCTAGTATTACTGCTAGTCTTACTGCTAGTCTTACTGCTAGTCTTACTGCTAGTCTTACTGCTAGTCTTACTGCTAGTCTTCGCACAGGTCCACATTGTGTTGGTTGACAGCATGCATGTAACAAGGACTTAGGTGGAGGACAACTGTCTGTGTTCCGAAGCAGTGACCTTTCTACGAATACGGTGGTACTCTTAACCGTCCACCTCTCCACACTGCGCTCTTGAGTCTTGGATTACATTCACAACACCACTCCATAGCGAGGAAGTTCGTCCCTTGCTCTTCAGTGGAGGTAGATAACGAATGAATAGCAGATAAACGGGAATGAGTATAGTTATAGGGTAAAATGGCGACGGTGGTACTCCACCTTGTTATAATTACGCTGTCAACCAGTACTGAATGGGGGTTATGAACTCTTGCCGGTAGAATTTATCATTTTGATAGGGAAGGCCCTACAGACGTTGCCGTCTTGTTTCAGGGAACCCTAAGTGCTCTTTACAGAGCGAAACAAAAACGGATGGATGCTCAACTTGACGACACGAGACAGGCAGAGAATTCCACCCATCAGCGCCAAGGAAAGAAATAGAGAACATGCCATATCTAGTGGTAGCAGCGGGCAAAGAAAGTGAAGAGAATGATTGCCCTCTAGTGCGCCTCTCGGTGCAAGTAGCAGCCGACTGGAGGGTGAACATTGAGGAAAGAAGAGGACTTGTAAGCTTATGAATACAGCGGAAAACAAAAATAAAAAGCCTCAAGTTGAGACGAGATTCGAGGGAGTATAACTTGCGTGCCGCAAAACAAAGACAGTCGGGGTACGGCGAGGGACCATCCTGGAGGTTTTCGCCAACCTCGGGGTTCCCATCGCGGAAGGAGCAGACAAGGTTGTCGGTCCGGCCACGGTCATGACAGTGCTCGGCATTGAGCTGGATACTCAGGCTCTGGAAATGCGGCTGCCGGCCGACAAGCTTTTCGAAATCAAAGCATGGCTCAACGAGTGGGCGGTCAGCCCATCGTGCACGAAACGTCAACTGTTGTCACTAATTGGCCTCCTCTCATTTGCGTCCAAAGTGGTTGCGGCCGGCCGCACCTTCACCCGTCGTCTCATCCATACCAGCACCACCGTGACAGGCTTGGATGAAGAAGTGCACCTGGACGCCGATGCTCAAGCAGACATCCGTTGGTGGAAGGAGTTCCTCCCACACTGGAACGGCCGAGCGCTTCTGCGTGACCCAGTATAGTCGAAGCCCCCAGACCTTGAGCTCTATACCGATGCGTCCGGCCTGGGATTCGGAGGTTTCTTTCAGAGTGCCTGGTTTTGCTGAGAATGGGGCCCGGAGCACCAGCACGGCCCTTTCTCCTCTATCATGTGGCGGGAGATGTATCCCATTGCTGTGGCCGCGCAATTGTGGGGCCCGCAGTGGCAGAAGAAGAAAATCCACCTCCATTGCGACAATCAAGCTGTCGCCACAGCATGGGAATCGGGCCATGCTGGAATCTGGAGGTCATGAACCTCATAGTCATACGGACCACCCTGCGTATTGCGGCACGCTACAACTTCATCCTGTTGATCCGTCACATCGCAGGTATCGACAACAGTATTGCGGACGCCCTCTCCCGTCTACAGCCCCACGATCGATTTTTATTTATTTATTTATTCAACATCTCCTGGCCCGTCCGAAGACTGCCAATAAACATGAGAGGTCAGGTGATAGCCAACCACGGCAAGCTAAAAGGGAGAAAAAGAAAGATGCTGTCAGAGAGGGAAAGGAGATAGGGAGAGAAAAAGAAAGGGAGGCACATTAGTAATACATGGGATCACTTCGGATGAGACAGTGTGGAAAGCTGGACTTTGAATTTCCTGATATCCTGGCATGTCTTAATGCTAGTAGGCAGGTTAGACCAAAGGGAGTATGCTGAGAAGAAAGGGGATTTCAAAAACAGAGAGGAACTAGCTCGGGGCAGTGATAAGGCATTGCGTGTTGGTCTAGTGGTAACAAACCAGTTGTACTTGGCAATATTATTATTATTATTATTATTATTAAATTTTTGATAGGGCAATCCCCACAGGCCTAAGGCCTTCTTACAGGGTACCCTAAATGTGCCAATACAAGGTAACGGAAGCGAGAAACAGATGTGCAAAGGCGAATGTCAGCAGGTAGAGAGTTCCAACGATCTGAGCCTAGAAAACTAAGAGAATATGTTTCGGGACTTGGGCTAGGAAGATTTTTTGCACAAGGATACAAAGATGCTGCTGATGTCGGGCAAGAAGAGGGTGCGTGGAAGCAAGTTTATAAAGACAAAGGGAGGCAAATGTTTGGTCTTTTCGAAACAGAATTTTCAGAAGCAAGCGTTGATGTACTTCCAGTCTGTGGAGTAAAGTCTGAGACAACCCGCACCAAGCTATATCGCAATAGTCAAATATAGGCAAAATGTACGACTTAAAGAACAATTTTCTGCAGTTATCATTCAAGTGGTGGCAGTGGGGTTGTAGCATACCTAAGGACGCACTCGCACGCTTGCACACAGACTGGACTTGTGGAGACCAGGAGAGTTGGCGGTCGAGAATAACGCCCAGGTGCTTGTGCTCGTTAACAACTTTAATAGGTGTACTATTTAGACCAGGAAAATACAGAAGCTGAGTGGGGGGCGAGGGAGAGAAGAACATGGCCTCGGTTTTGGCGAGGTTAGGCTTCAGTTTCCAGGTTTCCATCCATGTTACTGTAGCGTTGACCCCGGACTGCATGGAGGCCGTGAGGTTGTCTGCCGAGCTGTCGGAGCACATCAGAGCAGTGTCGTCAGCAAAAAGACTTACATTTGGTACAAGGGCTGGCAAGTCATTAACGTACAGTAGAAATAGGAGCGGCCCAAGTATGGACCCCTGGGGTACCCCAGACACGACTAGTAATGGGTCTGATAGGGAGGTAGATACTCTGACAGTCTGGTGGCGGCAGGAAAGATAGGATGAGAGCCATTGCAGGGCTGGACCATGTACCAAGAAGACGGACTCTAGCTTTGCAAGCAGACCACGATGCCAGACGGTGTCGAAAGCTTTCGCTAGGTCAAAGAACACGATGCCAACATGCCGCCTGAGGTTCCGCTGGGTGTAGATGTCTTGTACTAGACGTGTTAGTTGGAAAGTTGTGGAGTCTCCACGGCAGAAACCGGATTGAGATGGTGAAAGCGCTGGGGTGACGTGGCAGTACAGAGACTCAAAGAAAATACGTTCACAGACCTTTGACACAGCGGGAAGGAGAGAGATTGGTCTGTAGTTGCCAGCCTGAGAGCGTTGGCCTTTCTTATAGATCGGGACGATAACAGCAGATTTCCAGACGGACGGAAATACTCCTGTACGATATGACATGTTAAAGAGCAGGCACAAGGGATAGGACAGAGATGGCGCAAGCCATTTGAGAACCTCATTGGGTATGCCATCTTCGCCAGGGGACTTACAATTCTTCAGGAGTTTGAGGTGCTTACAGACGGTAGCAGTCGTGGTAACGACGCGTGTGAGTGGTGCGCTAAGTTCAGGGGCTGGGGACAGCGATGGAATGTCCCAATTCGGATACTCCGGAATGCCGGATGAAACAAACTGCTTGTTCAGTGTGTCTGCAATCGCCTTCACATCGTGCTGGCGGTTGCCATTGGAGTCCGTCAGGTACTGGATTGGCGCGCGGGAGGTCCCGCGGCACTGGTTGCGAATGAATTGGTGGAGTGATGGGCGATCGGGGGAGGAGAGTGTTGCAGAAAGAGAGTTTAGAAAGGAGCGGTGTGAGGTACGAGAAAGGTGCTTGACAAAGTTGCGTTGAACTCGGTAAGCCTCCCGGTTAACCGGCGTTGGGAATTTCTTGTAGATGCTGAAAAGATCACGCTTGCGCTTCACTTCAGATACGAGGGACCAGGATAGGCGGTCAGCCATTGGGTCATCCTAATAAAGTTATTATTATTATTAATTATAATCCGCCAAGGCCTGTTCAAGTGTAGAGATCTACTACTTCTCTATTTCTTTCCTTAGTTCACCATACCATTAGATTGGACCGCAGCATAGTACTATAATCATTGGCATAATTCCAGCATAATGTAGCATAATAACTGGCATAATTTGGGCCATGATAATGGAAATAAAAGCATAATTCAGCAATTTACCGAGCATAATCCGCCATGGGCTACATAGTGGGTGCTAAGCTATTCATGATGAACTCTTGCTATAATACATGTAGTACATGTCACATAATACTAGTATCAAGAGTAGAACAAGACGGCAACGTCTGTAGGGCCTTCCCTATCAAAATAATAAATTCTACTACTACTACTAGATAAACTCTTGATAGTATAACCACGGTTGTAACCAGGGAGTAGTACAATATTGTACTACTCCCTGGTTGTAACCAATTATTTTGGTTGGCTATAAAAACCCTGCAATCGCCACGCAAAGACGTTGGCTACCGGTATATACCCCGCGGCCCGGGCCCCGGCCCCAGCATGCTTGGATTGGAATAAAATTAATAAATAAATAAATAATTTTGTCAGTCTTTGTTAGCAAGCTGAAATCACGTGACTTTGTATGCAAGTCGGCGCCTCGGCGGTAGGCCTAGCCCAAATTTGCTCGGGGCGCTTCGATATTTTGCCGGCAAATTTTGCCCGATCACTTTCCATATTTTGCTTGGCATTGCCTTTCGTTTCCGATATTTTGCTCCATTTTGCTCCTGCTTTGTGGCAAAAATCATTTGATAAATGGCTTCGAATGAACCGTCTACTTTGGTAAAAGTGGATGGTGACTCTGACGAGGAAAGCAAAACTTATAATGGTGTCAGTATTACGGATTTTGGAGCATGATTTCAAATTTATGTACCCCTGACAACCTGCACGAGCTATTTCAGCACGACGTTGGCCCAATGAAACCAACGAAATTTGAATAAAATTACCAAAACACACCCGGATCCTCTGTAAATTCGATATTTTGCTCGGAATTTGCCAGCAATTTCTTTTTGTTGGAAAATTCGATATTTTGCTGGAAGGGCCCGGCAAATTTGGGCTAGGCCTACTCGGCGGGTGATCTAATCTGTAATCACGTGTCAATCAGTTTTACCTGCATGCATGCGACTGGCGCTGCCAAAGGCTAGATCCTGAACAACAACAAATGTTGCAAACGAACTCGTCTTCCCAAAATAAAACTGCAATGTTTGGAAACAGGAAAGGCTGAGGTGAAAGGGTTCATCATAGCTTTCTTGTGCTGTAGTTCCATTGGTGTCGTTGTGCAGGCCAGGACAATTACTTGTTACCGTACCTCGTCAGCTGACCACATCATCGGCACATGGTGTCTTTTTGAACTTCTCAACGAAAAAATATTCACTGCAATTACAAGTATTCGAAATGGCAAGTTAGTAGCCCATAATGGCAGGCGTCCCACTTCAGGGTATGGATACAAGCTATGGCGCAAACGAGGCCCCTGTGCCCAGTGTCAGCGTAACCAGAGGAGATATTCCAGTGGAGGCTGTGTTGCACGATCTGGCCGGAATTCTGCGCGACTCTGGTAAGTTCACTTTGTCACTTGAGTATTCCCCAGCCCTTGTTTGAAATTTTGAATATGGCACATTATGATTACCAGATTACTATTATTCTTGCGACGTGGGAATAAGTGACGACTGGCGAGGCGGTGGCAAAAGCGGGGAGAAAGTTCAGTGTATCCGTCAGTGCCTACTGCAAGCATAGACGTGGATGAAGAGATCCATAAGTAGCCACATGCCTAAAACGAACTGCTGTGCCTTGAGGGCAATTTAAAAAACAACAGATGCGGTGCACATGGATTCGAATGGGCTGCAATAGGCCAGCATCGGTGCCAGTGAGGTTTGATAAATTGTAGGGGGGGGGGACAAACACTGTTCACCCATTTTTCCATGTTCCTCTATTGCCTTGTCACAAAAAAATGCAATGTATGGGTGCACAGAGCACCCGGAATGATCGATTTGTGGCTGCATTTTCGCTGTCTGAACTGAAAAACATCAAAATCGATAAGGGGGAAGGGGCGGGGAGCTCAGAATCAAAACGATCAAATTTGGTGCTAAACTGGACTTGGACAGTAGTATACCTCCTCTCCCCCCCCCCCCCCCCCACACACACGCACACACAGAGCGTGCAGCAGCATAGATTTTTCGGAAGTCGTGTAAAGCTGTTTGTGCTTCTTCAATGGCAGTCGAAGGGAGCGATCAAAGATACTTTATTCCCGTAGCTATGCAGAAGACGTTACTTCAGTAACGTCTGGCGCTAGCCAGGGTCCACACAGCTTTAATTTGGTGTTTGTTTGTTTGTTTGTTTGTTTGTTTGTTTGTTTGTTTGTTTGTGTCACGCCTGGCGCTATCCCGTATCTGTCCCGTACTGTACCGTACTAGCAAAGACAGCTGGCCCCGATATTTTTGTTTGTTTGTGCCATCGAAATGCCTGGCGCTATCCCGTACCTGTCCCGTACCATCAAGGGTACGGTACCAACAAGAGAATGAGTATATATGCGAAGTGTATCGGGGGAATGCATTCAGTGCAGTAACATTTTGTGTGGATTTATGTGCGAGGCCGAGATCCCACTAGCAGGCTGGCTGGGCCGCCTGTCGACCAGCCCGGGAATCGCATGTAGGCCGATAGCATAATAATTATAACGTATATACAGTCATGTAGATGTATAGCAGGGAGTCATAATTATTATGTAAACGACTCCCTGCTGTATGGAAAGAAATACGAAGTAGGGAGACGAGTAAATACAATCAGAATGGATGTTAGTTGCCGTCAGTATAATAATAAGAAGAAGAAGAAGAAGAAGAACGCCCGTGATCGGCAGAGTCAGCGCCGGTCCCAGGAAACGTCAGGACAGACATCCCGTCGACTCCAGAACGCCCGTGATCGGCAGAGTCAGCGCCGGTTCCATAGCTATGCAGAAGACGTTACTTCAGTATCACATTAAAACGTTTTTGCAATACAATGATGTAGCTAATCAAAGGAAAAAGCATTTCCATCAGTTCTACCAACATGCACGATGAGCTAGGCAACAAAGCATAGCGCAGGGCCCTGAGCTTCCAAGCTCTCTCGTTTGGTGTTTGTTTGTGTGTTTGTTTGTTTGTGTCACGCCTGGCGCTATCCGTATCTGACGGCAAAAAAGCATAGGATGTTATAAATTTTTCAATTCTCCTTTTTTCAGGCATATCCTGGGATTCGAACCCGCACTATCGCCCTACATGCATTCCCGCGCCATACGCTTTGCATTCATACCCATTCTTCCAAGTTGCGTTACGTTATTATCTTGTGGTTGAAAGCCCTATTTGAATATTGCGGGAAGCTGTATGTGGCCAGCTGTGTTTGATGGTACGGTACGGTACGGGAGACGGTGTCGTATTACCCTCGATCGTACCTGTCCCGTCCCTATCCCCTACCGTACCGTGCCATCAAAGACGGCTGGCCACAATGCATATAACTCAAATAGGGCTTTCAAATGCAAGATCACAATGTGAAACAACTTGGAAGAAGTAGTATGTATGCGAAGTGCATCGGGGGATGAATGCAGGGCGCACGATAGTGCGGGTTCGAATCCCAGGTTATGTCTAAAAAAAAAGGAATTTTTAAGTCATCAAGGCAAAAAAGCATAGCGGAGGGCCCTGAGCTTCCTAGCTCTCTCGTTTTATTTGGTTCGGCGGCTTTTATGTGATTGAGAACAGTATAATTTGTGATATAATAATAGAGTAGTAAATATATGGAAGTGTATTCCGGGGAGCTCGCTCACCAACGTGAGAGTATAACAAATTGAGTTCCGAGGCGTCTTCGTGCGACGCCCCTCTTTGTACGCATGAACTCCCTTCGGCAGACGGGCAGCCTGGAGGACGCCGCCTGCGTATGCGTGAGTTGCCTTCGGCTGACGGGTGGCCTTGAGGACGCCGCCTTCGTATGATGGTCGGCCTGGTTGTGCGCCGCCTTCATCTCATGCCCGTAGGCCCTTCCCTCTCATCTCCCCGTAGGGTGCCGGACGGCCAAGCCGGGTCCTCTCCCAAAAAGGGATACGGAGTCCGCAGTGCGGGGAGCACTGCAGGACTCTTTACGTCGTACGACGCGAGAAGAGGTGCCATTCTTGCTCGACTAACAAGGGTATCAGCTCCCTTGCAGGACTAAGCGTGGCCCCCTCAAGCTCCTCAGTGTAGCGCGCGCGTACAATGCTGACGACTTGTACGGAAGGTGTGGCCGACGTACTACCACACTTTGCTGCTCTAGGCCACGAGTTGTAAGCCATGATTGCTCAACTAACGAAAGTGCCAACTCCTTCGCAGGACTAATCATGGTTCTTACAGAACTCTAGAAGTTTCTCGGAGCCCAGCTTTTGGCTGCTGAACTCAATGCGTGGTCGCTTTCACTACGAGTCGAATTCGGGTCATGACACCTGCATTACATCGTTAGATAGTTGATTTGAAATAAGTGGCGGGAAGTGGCGCAGTGCGTACAACCACGCTGCCGTTGTTCAGCAGGAGACTCTGGTGGCTGAATCATGCTTACCCTAGCCTCTGGCTCTGTATAACACAGACTTATTGCTTGTAAGGTCTGTTCCATCATGTGTCCGTGATCTACCATAGCATGGCCTTTCTGTATCCTTTCTCATGTTTCTGTGTGCTTTGTAGGGGAGTTGGTTCTGAATAATAAGCGTAACTTGTCACTCACGCCCTCCGTTGTGCGATACCTCAATGGCCGCTTTCGACAACTTGCCGCGACACCAGCAGGCGGTAAGACTGATGCTCCACCTTGATGATTGCTCTGGGTTTGGTCTGGGTGCTTTTGTATGTATATGTGTGTATATCTTGGGCATGGTGTGGGTGCTTGTGTATAGGTAAGTGTCGTAGTGCCCATGCTTGGGTGGAGGGCGGCATGACCCATTTGGGTAGCTGTATCATAGTAGTAATAGTAGTAGTACATGTAAGTATGTGTATGTCTGTGTGTGTGTGTGCGTGTGTGTGTGCGTGTGTGTGTGTGTGTGCGTGTGTGTGTGTGCGTGTGTGTGTGTGTGCGTGTGTGTGTGTGTGCGTGCGTGTGTGTGTGTGTGCGCGCGTGTGTGTGTGTGTGTGCGTGCGCGCGCGCGCGTGTGTGTGTGCGTGCGTGTGTGTGTGTGTGTGTGCGTGCGTGTGTGTATGTTCTGGGTATGGTGTGGGTGCTTGTGTATGTGTGTATGTCCATGGTTTTTTTGTGGTAACATGACGACACCCAGTGCTAAGGCAAAGTAAATTTTTTTGTAATTTCTGATAGATTTTAGTGACAACACTTCTCTTCTTTCTCACGCTTCTCACATCAGTAGAATTTCCCCTGTAAGTCCTGCTGATAGAAAGAGGATGGTGCATTCAGCCACCAGGGTGATAACTGTGTGGAAGAATCCAGCTCAAAACACTGCTGTACATATAACTGCCGTCGACTCTTTTTGTAATTTTATATTTAGGGTCGTCAGGATCTCGTGATGCCGCTGATGTGGAGTTCTTATGGCAGTTTCTGCAGAAAGTGCCATCTGTCAAGGTAACTTTCCAACCGCATTCTGTACAGATTGGCCGCCGGATTTAGGTTGTGTTTGCTTGCTCAGTCCACGAATAGATTTGAGCTGCATGACTGTATTCACATCTTTGCAAAGTAAAAACCCCTTTTCTCACAGTGGAGTCAAATGCTAACCAAATTAGGGAAGGAAGTGGGATGCTATATGCTTGGGAAATGAGGTTATAGAAGATCTTGAAGGCTTAGCTGACTTTTGTAGAAGAGCCATTTTTCAGAATCGTTTTTGGATAGGATGGCTTTGCTTTAGTATGGCAGTAGATGGTGTGGACATTGCATTAACATTTGATCCAGATTTTGTCGACTGGCCAATCCATACCAGCTTTTTGATGTACTCAGTACTACCGTCTGATCTGTGTTCCACTGTGTGTGTGTGTGTGGGGGGGGGGGGGGGGGGGGGTTGGTGGGTGGGTGCATGCGTGAATGCGTGTGTGTCCGCATGTGTATGTGTGTGTGCGCGGGCGGTTGTGTGTGTGTGTGTGTGTGTGTGTGTCCGTGTGTGTCCGTGTGCGCGCATGAATTTGTGAATGTACGGTCAATGTGTGATAGATCATGGGCAACATGCATCGTCCCAACATTCAGCGTGTGTCGCTACACGTCTTCCATAACCTGACACATCTGACTGTGAGTAGTGGTGTAGGCATGGTGTACATACGTGTGTGTGTGTGTGTGTGTGTGTGTGTGTGTGTGTGTGTGTGTGTGTGTGTGTGTGTGTGTGTGTGTGTGTGTGTGTGTGTGTGTGTGTGTGTGTGTGTGTGTGTGTGTGTGTGTGTGTGTGTGTGTGTGTGTGTGTGTGTGTGTGTGTGTGTGTGTGTGACTGTTCAGCCAATGGTGCTGAATGACTCTTCAGGTCTTAGCACACTTGTGTGCACGTGTGTGTGTACGTGTTTGTGCGTGTGTGCTTGTGTGTATGTGTTTGTATGTATGTATGTATGTATGTATGTATGTATGTATGTATGTATGTATGTATGTATGTATGTATGTGTGTGTGTGTGCACGTGTGTGTGTATTCATTCTCTGCTGTTGCTGGTCCTCATTTCCTCTGAGCTCAGTCAGTTCATGCAGTTGTTCTGTTGGTGTGTGTGTGTGTGTGTGTGTGTGTGTGTGTGTGTGTGTGTGTGTGTGTGTGTGCGCGTGTGTGTGTGCGTATGCGTGTGTGTGTGCGTATGCGTGTGTGTTTTGTATTACTGTATAGCTACGTAAAGTAAACATTGGTAACATCAATGGCCTTCAGGCGCTGCGCAGTCAGCTCCAGTCATTGACATGTGAACGCTCACTCAGATCTCTCAAGGTAAGCCACTGCAATGGTTGGTGATGGGCTAGATGTAAAGCTGGATATTGAGATGTTGTACATGTGTCCTTCACTTCGAAAGTGCTCCACCAGTGTTGTTACAGCAGTGGGCAGGCTGATGGGACTATCAACGTCTCCTGGCTTGACCTGTCCAATGGACTTGGCTCTGACAATCATGGCAGCAATTACTGAGTCAGGTCGACCAAACCGGCTTTCAAGGACCTGGAGCACAGTCGGCAGGTTCTCCGGCACGGTGAGCATTGCTCCGACGGCAGACTTGGCTGGCCCTTTCAGGCAACGCTGTAGACGGATTACGTTCTCCGACGGTGAAAACCCACACTCGTCTGTCGTCCTCTGGTACGTCGAGGCGAAAATGGGCCACTCCTCCGAGTCACCAGAGAACGCCGGTAGGTCACGTCCGACCGTCTGTCGAATGAGGAGCGTATCGATACCATGACATTGTGCTGCTTTAACTAAGTGTAGACCTCCAGCCTCAGGACTCAGGACTCTTCGTTGCCTTGATTGTAGCATGGTGGCACGGTTGCAACCTTCCAGCCTCTGTTCTGTTCGGGGCTGGCTGTGTTGCCGGTCGTCCCTGCAAGTGCAACGGTGACAGGTTTCTGGGTCTGCACCCAATGCCTCGTGGCTACCAAGGCAGACTTTCATGGAATTCTACTCACGTTTTCAATACGTGGCTGAGATGGGCTGATGACTGCTATGTATTCCTGACCAGAGTTGGTCAAAGACGCTGCTGATAGAGTATTCGAAATCGAGTCAGAAGGTTCCAACAACGGCCTCAAACGTTTCTCGGTGCACTAGGCGCCACCCGAGAGGACCGTTGAGGATGAGGTTTCGTTAATCTGGGTATGGCGCGCCTCCAGCTGCAGCTCTGAGCAAATGCCTCTGCCTCAGTGACTCAGGAGATGCTGGCAACTCCTAATCAGCAGCCTGATCGGCGATGTCAGCCATTCCAATGTCGTCCACAGCTGTCTCTCTCAGCTGACGATTTTGATTTCTTAGCAACATTGTTGCGCTTCAGTGATTTGAAGACTGTATACTAGTACTATAGAGCTGTACATCTGGCTCGAAGGACCATGTTGCGGCCCTCTGGCCTGAGCGACAGGGTTTTCTTCGATCCATTACCAAAACTTCGTGTTCGTACAATCTGCAATGTTCAATCCAAAGAGTTCTGAAATAACGAAGAGCTTCAATGTGACGGAAACGGTCTTAGGGACTGCTTCTCCCATTCCTGTTGGCTTTCCAATCTCATTTCATCGTATTTATTTACACTCCTTACGCATGCTCTGCATGGTGATCCCCAAATTAATTATTGTTCATGTATCATGAACAGCTAGTACTCTACACACTATCCACCTTCAGGAATACAATAATTGGGAATTCAGTGCAAGGTGTTCGTAACAGCCCGATTGCCAAAGCGTACATGGTGTGTGTGTGTGTGTGTGTGTGTGTGTGTGTGTGTGTGTGTGTGTGTGTGTGTGTGTGTGTGTTTATGTGTACATGTATGTATGTGTGTGCGTGTATGTGTATTGCATTTTCAGAGTGCTCTGGTGAGGTGTGGGGCCGACGAAGCAGCGCCGTTCACCTGGCCGAAACTTGTGCACCTGGATGCTAGTTATAATGGTCTATCGGAGCTGGATGACTCATTGGTAAGTGCTTGATTATTCCCATGGCAACTGCTATAGGGAACTCAGGGGTATTTGACATGCTACGGTCACTAGGATATTGGCCGTACCACTTTTGCCCCCAGTACTTGCGTCCAGTGATGAAAATGCGATAATCTTGGCTCTAACATACGAAATCTTTTTACGGGGAGAGCCCCGGAGAGATACCATTGATGGCTGACCATGCCACTTCTATACCACTTTCCTATGCCTCTGGAACTCAAACTGTCACCATATTCTTTTAAAAGTTTATGTGAAGGGCAAATCACAAAGTGTAGGTTCTGCCCTTGCCGGAGTGGGTGTGGAATGAAGTGCGGCACTGAATGAACTGTGTGAACGTGTGTGGACGTGTGTGAACGTGTGTGAACGTGTGTGAATGTGTGTACATGTGTGCATGTGTGCATGCATCATTGCAGCGCTTCACGAGCGGCTTGGTCAGTGTTAATCTGAGCCACAATCAGATCGCGGTCACTCAGGATTTCTTCTACGTAAGTTCTCTATCACGTACAGCCATCTACACTAGGCCAACATTTCTATGTGCTGTGAATCTTGCAATGGGTATCACAAGTCAGTCGGGTCCTTATCACATTCACACGCAAGGATGAATGTATCTTCTAGTGATTTCGCAATACTTTCCTTAGTGCATACTAGTACTAGCGGTGTAGTTGAGGTGTTTGATTTCTTTTCTTCGTGGCCTCCATGCAGTGTTTGGCTGTTTTGCGCAAGTAGCAGGGTAGACTGTCCCTGTGCATGCAAACACTCCGGGATATGGAGAGTGCAATTTAGAGTAGAGCTGCATTGAGGGTTCATCTCGTGGCTGAGTGACGACACTCTATGCTATTTTGTTCACGAATCCTACACAGCCATTGAATGATGTTGTGATGCTGAATCTGGCATTCAATCAACTCAACCGTATTCCCACGCTCTGCTCCCGCGCGGCGAGAGTGCACCTGCGCACGCTGATACTGAGAGGCAACAACCTGGACAATCTTCAAGGTACGGGGGCGAGTGAGCTATGCGCACACTCGTGCATGTGTGTGTGGGGGGGGGGGGGGGCATGAACGTGCCTACGTGAGTGCATGCAGTCATGTTAGGCAAACATTTTAGTGTATGAGAAAGAGAATTGTCTGCTGGTTTGATCATCTCTCCTGCACCTCTCATCAAGTCTTCAATTGCCATGGGAAGCACAGCAGACAGTCTCAGCCCTCTGCTAGTACAGGATCATTGATGGCTTTGTAATGGTTTTGCTGCCTGCCTGCCGCAATCACACTGCAACTTAAATGTCATTACAAACATGTGAATGTACGCTCAATTTTACCTGGGGCCACCTTCGTGAAGTACTCGCTCTCCAACAGGTGCTCTACAAACAGTCACGCACCCATTAGTGTGAAGCATTGCAGGCATACCAGTGGAACATAATGTCAAATCTTAGCATTGACAGGAAATGGAAGAAGTTGTTTGAAGCTGGTGTGTGTGTGTGTGTGTGTGTGTGTGTGTGTGTGTGTGTGTGTGTGTGTGTGTGTGTGTGTATGTGTGCGTGCGTGTGCGTGCGTGTGTGTGTGTGTGTGCGTGTATGTGTGTGTGTGTTTGTAGGCCTGCAGCATTTACGCATACTGCAGGACTTGGATCTGTCCGACAACTGCTTGCTGACACATTATTCACTTTCACCACTCGGTGAATTGGCCAACTTGGTGACGGTGAGCTAGTAGATGCCCTCTCCCTCACACATGCAAGCACACACACGCACACGCACACATACACCTTGAAACCTTGAAACTGCCACCTAAAGGTGATGCAGTGCCTCAAAGAGGCAAGGAGGGCAGAGTTACTTCTTGCATTTGTGTTGAGCCAGGTACTGGAGACGTGTGAACTTCCGAGAGCAGGTCGGGCATGGGATGGTGCGGCGCTCGGAGCCAGAGCTGCATGTTCTGCGGTTGCAGTTGCAGTTGTGCCGGCGGTGCCCAGCTTTGCTCCGGAAACAGCGGTCACAGGTGTGGCAGTGGTAATGACATTGGCTGCAATCAGGTGGGCGAGGTGCAACAATCTCTGGAACTGGAGCGTCACCAAGACTGGGAGAGCAGCTGTGCACAGCAAATCCACCTCGGCTAGCAAACCAACGATGGCACGTTTCGCACAACACAGCACCGGCCTGTTCATGGATCGGCTTCAGTCGCTCTTCCCTGCATTTGTGCCGCCGAAGTCCGCTTTCACTGGCGAAGAGTCGCTCACAGATCGCACAACACACTGACTTGGCTGTCGTTTCAAGGCGTAAGCGCCGTGCAACAATAGCATCTGAGATGGACTGGATCCACTCGCCACGTTCAGCTGCGAGGTCGTACCAACCGGTGTATAGACCAAACGCCTTGAGGTCATCGCGTACCACATCACACCATCGACGCCTGGGGCCATGAGCAGAGCGTGGAGTATGGAGCCACGAGAACAACACTGCCTTTGGAAGCCGGTGGTCGTCCATCCTGGCAATGTGGCCAAGCCACTGCAGCCGTCGATGGGCAACCATGTCAGCAACTGGCTCTGTAGCGCACATTCTATGCAGCGAGGCAGATGACAGGTGGTCCTCCCACTGTTTGGAACGCGAGATGCCGAGAATGACACGAACGCAGCGGTTGTGGAATTGTTCAAGGCGACGTATGTCGGCACGCAACAGTGTCCAGTTCTCAGCCCCGTACAACAGCACCGACAACACACAGCATGTGTACGTGTGTTGTTTCGTCTTGGCATACACACACACGCACACACACACACACACACACACACACACACACACGCGCCCGCGCACACTCACTCACACACACACCATGTACCATGTATACGCCCGTCGCAAGAGAAGCACGCAAATCTGCAAATGCACTGGATGTGCACCCACAGATTTCTCTTATGGCAACGATAGCGAACAAGATCTGAATGAGACAGATCAAGACTTGCGCCAGATAACTGTCTAATCCACACAACTGGCAAAGCCATTTGAATCGACCACCAATGCACACCTGGTCTACACCACACGGAGTACATCGGCATAAAACGGCCAAGACAGTTACCTATGCACACCCTACACTTGCTGGGGTAACCAGTATAGACAGCAAGCTGCTTTGATAGAAGCAGACACTAAATGCTCTGGTACCTTGAAGTGGAATTGGAGTTACTTTACCAACCAGCCTCGACTACTGAGTACTGGGAACCCAGAGCCAACAGACACACCAACAACCTCAGCCATGAACGCTAATATAGTAACGACACACTGGATTGTGGAGCCGAAACTAGTCCAACTTCCAGATGCTTTGGCACACATGCACATACACACACGTACGCATGCCACTGTGTTAGCTGAGAGAAGGCTTTCTGCCACTCTACTTGAGTACTAGTTGATATCCTCAATTTGGATTACTAGCATGTGTGTCTGATTTCAATGAAGTGTAATAGTGTATTTTAGCCAGAACTGCTTGAAGGACTGGGGAATTGGAGAAATCAGACTCCAATATGGTGAGACTCTCATAACACTTAGTTTCTGTCATGGCTTCTGTAGAGCAGGAGTATGTGTGTGCACACGTGTGTTTGTGTGTGTGTGTGTGTGTGTGCGTGTGTGTGTGTCTGTGTGTGTTTGCGCATGCGTCCGTGTGTGTGCATGCATGTGTTGTTTTTCTGGTACAGCTAACTCTTGCCGGAAATCCTCTATCGTTCCAGTCCAACCACCGTATGCTTACGTGCGCTCAGCTGTCACCGCATATCAACTGCAGTGCCGTACGTTGTTGTGGGTCGGATTTTCTTAGCCGTCTTTTTTTGCTATCTTTTTGTGAATTATGACAAGTCACATATGTGCATACCATGTACATGGCGTATGGATGTCTTGCACATTTTGTGTTCATTTAGCGTGCATCGTATGTGCTAGCATGCACATGGTATTTGCGACAGTAGACACTGAACATTTGTGTTCTATTTGTCATTGTTTCATCTCAATAGATGACTTGCACAAAGATTGTCTGGGTTCGAGACGGGGCAAGTAGACCTTCTGACTCTGACTTCCCCACCTTTTGAGTTCGTGACTTTCGAAGTTTCGCTTTTTGCCTGACGAACGCTGAGCTAGTTTTTTTGGGTAGAGAGTAGAGTTGTTTTGATTCGGCTTGTATCGTCATGCCGAAGCGCTGCTGCGCTCCTGAATGCACTAGCAGACGAGAGATGGAACTGAGGCTCCCATTCCATACGTTCCTTTCCGAGCCGGGAGGCAGAAAAATGAGGCCGGAATATTATTTTAGTATCATTGGTGTAGGCTGCAACAAGCACGTCGTGGTCCTGAAGTGTGACTACTTTCCCGCACTGGAAGCGAAGTCAAGCACAACGAAAGTTTGTGGACGTCTGACAAAGAACTCGATTCCCTTTGATTCGGCTGCACTAGCTCCAGAGCGACCCTCTCCTGAGGACAGACTGCGGAGAGGCCATTAACCTGCCGAGTCACGAGTGGAAGGCTTCAAGCCCAAACCACGAAAATGAAGGGTGGAAGAACTGAGTGTGAGAGCCAGATGGCCTTTAGTAGTACTTCAAGTAGTATCTGAGTTGAAGGAGAGAACAAGTGTGCTGGAGAAACGCTGCGAAGTCCTCAGGCCTGATGTGTACTAGCTACTGTTGAAGTCTCACTTGTTCCAATAATTATGAACACTTCATCAGCCCTGACTCTGAGCAGCTGTGTCTAGACTTGGACTTAGGCCAGAGACATAGCATTGTAAACTTTACTGAAGCCATATGTATCCAATGCCTGGCTCTAGTGAGAAAGCAGTTTGGCGCAGGCTCGCAAACTATGATCGAATCAGGGAGTGGTGGAAAGTCACATTATACCTCTCCATGATTAGCTGGTAATGACATTGATGCGGCTCCGGCTGGGTCTCATGGGAAAGTTACTTGCATACCTGTTTAGTTGCAACGAGGCAACGGCACCCCATGTGCTGAAGACATGATTGAACTACATTTTATCTCCTCCTGGGAGAATGTGGAACAAATAATGCCAGAGTGTGTCTGATACACATCACAGTCTGCTGAGTATGTTCATTATTGTGGACGTAACAGAACTGCGCTGTGAGGTACCTTCTGCGTTGGACCTACAGTTGAGCCACTACTCTTCTTACAAATTCCGGTGAAAGGATTTGTTGGAGCATCATCAAACAGTGCGTTCG